GTCTCTACAGAACTCTGGAACTTTGCATTAATGAGTTTCAAAGCAACAGTCCTCAATCTCTACAAGGAAAAAGGGCCAACTCATCTGTGGTCAGCCTCACACTTGGTCACTGATCTGGCATTGGGGGGTGGGGAGAGGCAAGGGTTAGGAAAAGGGTTAGGGTAACTCTAAGATTACAAACCTAAGTAAACAGAAGGATGACGGTGCTCTTAACAGAAGTAGAGAAGTTTAGGAAGGAAAATGATGAGTTCCATTCTAGACATGTTGCGTTTGAGATGCCTAGAGGATATTCAGTAAAGATATCTATATCTAAGAGGCAGTTCTGGTCATATGGGACAGGAGCTTAGGAAAGAGATTAGGGCTGGATATACAGATCCAGGGATATAGCTGCAGAGATAACTGATCTTATGGGAGCTGATAAGATCATGAAGAAAGAGGTACAGAGAATAAAGAGAAAAGGGCCCAGGACAGGGCCTTGGGGCACACTTACAATCCAGGCAGTAGGGTGAGGGGGAGATAGGTCATGGAGGATAATATTGCAAAGAAGACTTACAAGGAATAGTCAGACAGGTAGGAGATCCAGGAGAGAACAGCATTATGAAAACCTAAGAAGAGGGTATCCAGGAGGAAAGGGTGGTAAAGAATGTCAAACACAGCAGAGAAGTCAAGAAGGATGAGGACTGAGAAAAGGCCGTTAGATTTAGCAATTAAGAGATTGCTTAGAGAAGATACCTTCAGCTGAGTAGTTGGGTCTGAATCCATGTTGCAAAGAGCTGAAAAGTGAGAGGAGGAGACAGAGTGGAGATAATAAGAGCTTTTTCTAGGAATCTGGCTGTGAAAGTGAGGAAATGGGATTCTAGCTTGAGGAAATACTTGGGTCAAATGAAGCGTTTTTAAGAATGGAGGAGAGTAAGAGCTGTTTGTAGGCAGCCAGGAAGGGGCCAGTAGAGAGGGACAGCCTGAATATTAGAAAAGGGGATGATCAGATGGACAAACTCCTAGAAGACAAAGGAGGTGAAGAGATCAGGACACATACAGAGGGTCTGCCTTGGTGAATATGGCCACCGCTTTGTTAGTCTCTGGAGCAAAGGAAGAGAGAATGGGGGATGACATGAAGGACTTTGGAGACATGGAACAGAGAAGATGAAGCTTACTACAACTCTCTTTTCTGGATGAAGTAGATGCTCTGTTGAAAGGAAGGGTGAAGAAGTGGTACAGAAGGCTTAAAGAAAGAAGAGAAGGTCTGGAACAGCTGCTATGGGGAGAATGGCAGAAAGTCAACTAGGAAAGAATAAAAGGATTGCCAGCCATTAGTCCGGGCCCAATTAGCACAATGATATGAATTCCTCTAGGGACATTCAGCAGTGTCTTAGAAGTGAAGAAGGTAAGATAAATCAGGGTTCTTCAAGATGAGTGGAAATAGGACAAGGGGGTATGAGATTCAAGAGTACAGTGTACTGCTGAACTAATTAACTTCTCAAAACTGGTCAAATTTTCAAAGGGAAAGATGACTGACATGTGACAATGAGGGTGGAATAGAACATTTAGGGTGAGAGTGAAATCAAGACCAGGACCATCCTTAATAGTCTTAAGAGCTAAGATCATTCACGGGTGGGGAACCAAGGCCTCAAGACCACATATGGCCTTCTAGGTCCTTGGACTCCTTTTAGTAAGGGGATTTGTTTTGTGAAGTTTGGATTCAATCAAAGGGCTGCATTTGAGGACTTAGAGGGCCACTTGTGGCATAGAGGCCTCAGGTTCCCCACCCCTGAAGGCCACAGAGGAAGCTGCCTAACTAGGCGGCCAGGATGTTTGAAGGGGGATCAATAAGTATTTAAATCCATAGTAGGAGAAGACAGTGGGATGATAAGCTGGGTGGGGCGGGGGAGTAGATAAGACCAACTAGACCAGGGTAGTGATAGCCAGGTAAATGAAGTGAAGAAATGCTGATGAGTGATGACAAAAGAGTGTGGCAGTGAGAATCAAGGAGTACGCCTATTCCTCCTCCAGGCCCACTGGAATGGGGAACATAAGTGCTTCCAGTACTGGAGAGGACAGTCAAGAATACAGAAGGAAACCAGGAGGATGTCTAAGATGAAGGGAAAATTACTGGAAGCAGAACAGAAGTTCCAGAGGACACAGTGGAAGGGAAGAGGGGAAGCAGGAGGGTGACTTGAGAGGGGAACAGATAAGGTGAAAGAGAATGAAGGAATGGGCAGTGGGAGCAGAGGGAAGGGATTCTGCTTAGGCAGGTTTGCTGCCTTGGCCTCCTATGCCTGGAATTCAAGGATTTTTTCCCCTTCATGCACTCCTATCTTGAGGTATACTGGACGGACTCCTGACTGTTCCTTGACCTTAGGCCACTCTCTTTCACCTCGGTATACGCTTTGACTGGAACAAGACTCTTGAATGAATATTTACTGATGTATGTATACTATGTATGGGTCCAGCTCTCTGGAAGCTACAAGAGAAGTCCAAGACAAGGCCCCAAATCTCAAAGAGCTTACTAGTTGAGTATGACAGTTCACAGAGCTTAAAGGGTCCTCCTTACAACCTTCTGAGCTTACTACTTCAAATCCCTACTCTACAATGGCTTGGTTAAAAGTCGTCCCTTTCTCCTGACATCCTCCCTCTGCCCCCAGCATAACTGAATTTTAAATTATACAGTGGAGGCAGTTAACTGGATGCTTTTAGTAGAGGAGGGAAATTTGGAAGAGAAAAGTAGCTCTTGCATTTTAACTTCTAAAAATCTAGCTATGACAAAGTGATTAAATGTTTTGAGTTACCCAGCCCACAATAGGAGAGCAGGCTTTAAACTATTCACTTAGAAGGTCACAATATAAGTGGTGAAAAAAGTACAATGTGGAATGAAAGAGAAACGCAACAAAAACTTGAGTATCCACAGAAGGCAGATCAGAATAAAAACTTAAAAGTGAAGCATCTAAAAAGAGACCTGGGAGCTTTGAATATAACGTGAGATTTTCATTAAACTGAAGGATTCTGAAACTAGTTTTCCTGGGGACACTTAATACTCTATGTACAAATACAAATAAGTGGAAATGCAATTAAACCAAATGCATCCTGTAAATGAAAAGACCACCTTTCCAAACTAGCTCCCCCCTCCAAAAAAAAAAGAATACATTATGGAGTTTCGTTTTATAAAAAATCTTCCAAGGTTTTCACAATGATCTCATCACTATACTTTCCTCCACACATCTTAGTTTCCCCCAAAGCCTCTTCTTTTCACAAGGTCTCCTTTCTAAACAGCAGCCCTCCCTATCTAAATGAATATATTTACTAAGTTCTAAAACTTCAATCTCCACTGTAGCCTGACCAAAGTCCTTCATTCTTCTAAAAATCCATTTCTTCAGTAATACTTGCCTCTTGATCACAATTCTTAACAGCCCAGATGCCACATTGCATTTCATGACACCATTTCTCCAGAAACCTCACTTACCACCCCCATCCTAACACCTAACCATAAAGCTCAATCTTGCCATTAAACCTGGCCTTTACTTGATTCCCTGACTCACCCTATTCCCAATAAGCTCCAATCCTTTCTCTTCAAAGATCTGACTTGTTCTCATCAGTCCCTAGCATTCCTTTTCCCACCAGAACCCCTTCTTTCGTACTCCCAAACCAAGCCTTCCTTCACACCATCCACTGGGCCCTTAAACTCTACCCCTCTCCACTGCTCCTGCCCAACCTCGCCCCCCAAGCTCTTACCCTCAATCAATTATCTGCTCCTTATTTTCTCACACTTCCCTACTACACCTCCTTCGTTACTCTTCCCTCAGCCAACCCTCTCCCATATTTCCCATGCCTCTTCCTTTCGCTTAGCCTCTCATTCCACTCAGCTTCTCTTTCTTCCTCCTCCTTCTCTCAAATCTCACATTCACTTCCCTCTTCCCTTTCCGCTACTCTCCTCCCCAACCTGCTCCTGTCTTTCCTCACTCCCTTCCATCTCATTCACTTCCCAAAGTCCAGTCTTCTACTCTCCCACCCTACCAACTCCCCTAACTCTCTTCCCAAACTTTCCCCCTACTAAGGTCTTTCACATGCTCTCTGCTGTTGCACCATTACCCCCAAACTGCCTGGCCTTTCTTTACTCACTCTTCTCACCATATCTGCAGATGATACAACTCTGGGAGGAATAGTTGTTAACTGGGTGGCAGTCAGGATGCAGAGACCTTGACACGCTAGAACACCGAGCAGAATCTAATATGATGAAATTTAGCAAGGGAAGATGGACAGTTGGGTCCAGAAACTTGACTCCACAAGTAGAAAATAAGGGCAGCATGTTTAGACAGTTTTTCTAAAAAAGATCAGGAGGTTTCAGTGGGCTTCAAGCTCCATATGAATCAACAGTGTGATGCAGCGGTCAAAAAAGCTAAGGCACTTTGCGGGTTGAATTAAGACAGGCTTCTAAGAAGGTCAGACATGGTCAGAGCACATCTGGAGTAGGAAAGGCCACTGGTAACCTGGAGTGTGTCCAGAGGAGGGCAGCCAGTCAGGCCGTCAACCAGCATTTATTAAGTGCCTACTCTGTGCCAGGCACAGTGGGCTGAAGGGCCTTGGGTCCACGTCAGTAGGCTCTGCTGAAGGATCGGGGCATGCTTAGGCTAGAAAGGTGAAGGCTCAGGGGGCATCGGGACTGAACCGCGACCAGTCGAAGGAGGGACGGCCCAGGGCTGGGGGGCCCCAGAGGGCAGGGCCAGGAGCAGGGGCCAGCAGCTACAAAGGGGCCCAACTTCCCACCACGAGGCTGGGAGAGGAGCTGGGTTCCCCCTCCGAGGAGGCCTCCAGGCCGCCCCCGCCGGGGGAAGGGGAAAGAACGAAACGGCTCCACAATGGGGTGCCCTTCGAGCCCCCTCCCGGGCCCCTCAGGCCTCCCCTCCCCCCCCCCCACGCCGCCCGGGTCCGCCGCGTCCCCTCAGGCCTCCCTCCCTCTGCCCCGCCCGGCCAGGCCCCCTCCCCGGCCCCGGGCCGGCTGCACTCACGGCTGTAGAGGGCGATGCAGGCGGCGTCCTGCCCGGTGCGGACCTCGAGGCGCAGAGCCTGCTGCTCCGCGTGTCTCTGGATCTCGCCGTTCGCGTCCCCGATGGTGAGGAGCCGAGCGCCGGGGAACACGGACACGGCCACGCCAGGCCCCGCGGCCGCCACGCCGCCCGCCGGCCCCGAGCCCCCAGCCGCCGCCGCCGGCGCCGCCGCCGCCGCCGCCGCCGCTGCCATCTTAGATCCGGCTCCAGTCGCCGCCGCCGCCGCCGCCGGCGCCGCCGCCGCCTCCCGGGCCCAGGCTGCAGCCAGCACAGAAGCCGAGGCCGGTGTGCAGCGCCCCCTGGCGGCTCCTAGAGGCCTCGCAGGCGCTGCCGCGGCCCGAGCCCCGCCGCACAGCGCCCCCTACGGGAGGCGAGGGGCACCGGGGTCCGGGCTGGACACGCCCCCTGGCCGAGGCCCGGGGCGTGAGAGCTCCCCACGTCCCTGGCCCAGCCAGGCAGGGCCGGGCCGCGCTGCTCCACACCTGCTTCTGCCCCGGCCTTCTCCCCGACGGCCTGGCGGGTGCGTGCGTTGTGAAGTGGCGCTGCTTGAGGGCGAGTGAGCAACTGCACAAGCTCAGCATCCGCCACCAACTGACTCCCCCGGGGGTGGGAATGACAGTGCCCCTGCCTGCCAGCTCCAGAGCCTTGCGACCGGTGCCCTCCACGTGCCTCCCCTGGCCGCGGCCACGGCTTAGCCCCAGATCTTACTCCCTGGCCTTAAGCTTTATCCTTCAGTCCCTGTGGACGCCCACCGCCAGCTGTGCCCGCCCACCTGTGCAACGCCCAAACCAAGGAGACAGCTTTGCTCCATGCCCTCCCAATCCACCAGTCCTGAACCCACTGGCCTGAGTTACTAGGCCATATAATAACAATAATTAATAAGAATAAAAACTGACCCCTGAACGAAGAGGAGTCACCTATTTTATCATCACTACCTGCCCTGCCTACCCTCAATCCTCTTTTCCAATTCTAGCTGAGGTGAAAGACTCCCTCCTGCCAAGCACAGGGGTAAGAAAATTGGAGAGAGTGAATCCAGACCTCTGCAGAAGGAGGTTCTTTTTGCTTCTGATGCAGAAAACAACCTCCCCATCCCAGCTGGCTCCATTTTCCTAGGTAGGGATGGGATTAGAGGAGATATCCTGTCTGCCTCGTGTATCCCAAGCATTCACTTCAAACTCAATCACCTAGAATGTTTTGTGGTAGAATAACAAGCCCAAAGGGTTAATAACAGAAATCCAGCTAGCTTTAATAAGACTCCACACTTTGTTCCTTACAAATGTCTCAATGTTGGTGGTAATTAATAACTTAGACAATCTTGCCGCTTCAATTCTATAGTTTTCAAAGAAAACGAATGACACACATAGAACAGAAACTTAGGGCTCTAGGACCGATCACTCTTAGAATACAGTCTAGCAGGTACCTGTCACCAACTAGGGCTGGCTGCAAATAAGTCACCAGAAGGCAGGAAAGCATTGGTGGTGGCTGAAGTAATTCCAAAACATTTTTTTTAGTGGGGACAGGAGATGCTGTAAATCTAGATAGGAACTTTTGGTTCAGTGTCTTGTCTGTGCTCTTGCAACAACCATTAATGTTACTCTGCTCAGAACGGGCCACTTGAATAGGGGCAGAAGAATTAATGGCTGATGCTATCCCCCTAGAGAAAGAGCTTCACCTAGAATGATCTCTGCTTCCATGAATGAAAGACAGCTGTCCCCAAGATCCAGGCTTCTGTGTATTTTCTGTTCAACAGATACAGACTTTTGTTGGGGCCCTAATACAAATGACATCTGACAGTGACTGAAGCTTAATTTATGTGGCCCTGGACAAGTCACTTAACCTCTTTGGGGCTCAGTTTCCTTATATGAAAAATTAAGTGCAGGGGTTCAACTAGATGACATCTGAAGGCTCTTTCTAGGCATAAATCTATCATCTATGAACCTGAGACACATAACAGGCTATTGCTAACTACTGAGCCATAGAAAAAGCATTTCAGTTGGAACAATGAAAATCAGGACATGAGATTATCTCTTGCGAGGTTGTAGTTGTACTCCCCCTGGATGAAAGATGAAGGGGTGGTAAGGGAGACATACAGGAGCCAGGCCTCCCAGACTTCTTCCGAACCCAGCCTGGAAACTGATAAATCAGGGGAAGAATGCAAAAGGAAAAATGCAACCTCTTAGTCTCACAGCAGGGGATAGGTTCAATCAAAGGACCTGAAGGTGCTGAATTCAGGTAGTTCAGGAGCAGAAGAAGTAGATGTGGGTCTCTTTCTGGGCACAAAGGGTTCTGGAGCCAGAGTTGAGCTGGTGAATGCGCCATGAGTATCCACATCTTCTGGGGTCATTTTCTTTTTCAATAAAAGAAAATAAATAATCAAGTGACTTCTAGGATACAGAATTGTGGGTATTCCCCTACTTTTTCTCCTCCATCCATACTAAATACTATTTTACCTCATTCTTCCACTAGTCCTCAGCTCCAAACCTCTTATTTTATCCCACACTTTATGATACTCTGCCCAAATAATGCCTGTTTCCCCTTCTTTTCCAGTACCATGTAGTAGAAAGATCACAAGATTTAGATTCGGGAGATGTAGATTCAAATTAGCAGCTAGGTGGCACAATGGATAGAATGGTAGACTTGGAACCAGGAAGATCTAAGTGAGAATCTTGTCTCAGACACTTAGTAAGTGTGTGACCCTGAGTAAGTCACTTAACTTCTCTCAGCATTAGTTTCCTCATCTGTAAAATGGGGATAATGATAACACCTACCTCCCAGGGTTGCTGTGAGGGTAAAATACTATTTGTAAGGCACTTTGCAAACTTTTTAAGTGCTAAACACATGCTAAACATTATTATTAAATCCCTGCCACTATGTGATTATGTGCAAGTGACTTAACATACCTATGCACTTAGCTTCTTTATCTGGAAAATGAGTAGCCTGGACTAAATGATCTCTAAAAGCCATTGCAAGAGGGTAGCTAGATGGTGCAGTGGATAAGGCTCAGACCTTGGAGTCAGGAGGACCCGAGTTCAAATCTTGCCTCAGACACTTCACACTTACTAGCTGTTTGACCCTGGGCAAGTCACTTAACCCCAACTGCCTCACCAAAAATAAATAAATAAAAATAAAAGCCATTGCAGATTGGTATCTTGTGAACCTTTCTCCATCTGGGCTTTTCTCATGTACTTTTGTCATCACTAGGTGTGCTTCCCAGAGTTGTAAGGGACCTTAGAAGTCATCTAGTCCATTCTGCAGCAACAGGAATCCCCTTTATAACATTCCTGACAAGTGTTCATCCAGTATCTACTTGAAGTGATGGGGAATCATGACCTCCTGGGGCAGCCTATCTAACTTTTTTTTGGGGGGGAGGAGTAGTTCTAATTGTTAGCTAGTGTTTCCTTACAACGGCCAAAAATCTCTGAAATTTCTATGCAGTGCTCCCAGGTCTGTTCCACAAGGGCCAAATAGAACAAGCCTAATCCCTCTTTCCCATAACAGTCCTTTAAGTCCTTGAAGGCAACAATCCTCTCCTTCCTAAATCTTCTCATCTCTAGGCTAAATATTCTGTTTTTTCAAGAATCACAATAATATGCAGATATAGTACACTCCTCACAACAGCCCTGTAAGGGAGAACAAGTGTCAGTATCTCCATTTTACCAATGAGGAAACAGGCTCTGGGAGGCTGTGGCCCAGCCACATCAGGTAATAATACATCTAATATGTCTCTGGTGGGATCCAGACTCGAGGCTCTTGCCTTTCAGAGCCCAGCTCTCTCGTGTGTCCTATGGTATGGATTCTACTTGTCTGTCTTTTTCTTCCTCCTGAAAACCCTCTTCATCACCAGAACCACCCTATTCTTTTCCTGCCAAGCTTCATCTGAGGAGGTTATTTGGAACCATATTGAAGCAGTCATGACCACCACCATCTTGGTTTCTCTTCTGTGATATAGCATTCACTGACAAGAATCAAAAATGCCCACTGGGAAGGGTCCTAGATTTGTCTTGCCCAAAATAATCTGTGTTTGGGGAAGGAGTTCTACTTGCTAAAGAGTAAAAAAAAAAAATGCAACCTAACAAAAATTTCAATTGCAGCCCTAAATTTCAACCAATTACAACCTATTAAATTTCATGAAGATAGTAGTCTAGTTTCCCGAAGGCAGGTTCACAAAATATCTGCCTAGATATATTTTCCATCTGCAGCCTTTTTTCCCTGAACTTCAGACTCACATTTCAAACCACTATCAGGCCCCTTTCACCTAGATTTCCTAATTGCACTTCAAAGGCAGTATGTTCAAAAGGAAGTTAATTCTCTCTCCTCTGAAGTTTGTTTTTCCTCCTTTCTTCTCCATTTATGCTAAGGGAAATACCATTCTCCCAGTAATTCTTGCTTGATACTTGACTCTTTTACCTCCCTTACTCCCCCACATTCAGGAAATCATGAAATTTTGTTTATTCTGTGTCTCTGAGCAGGAGGATTTCAGAAAAATTTGGAAAGACTAATATGAACTGATGCCCAGTGAAGTGAGCAGAACCAGGAGAACACTGTACACAGTAACAGCAACATTGTGCGATGATCAACTATGACAGACTTAGTTAGCTCTTCTCAGCAATACAAGGATCCAAGACAAATCCAAAAGACTCATGATGGAAAATGCTATCCACATCCAGAGAAAGAACTGTGGGGTCTTCATGCAGATCGAAGCATACTATTTTCACTTGTTTTTTCTTTCTCATGGTTTCTCCCTTTTGTTCTGATTCTTCTTTCACAACATGACATGTGGAAATATGTTTAACATGACTGTACATGCATAACATATATGAGATTGCTTGCTGTCTTAGAGAGGGTGAAGGGAGGGAAGGAGAAAAAAATGGAATTCAAAATCTTACAAAAACGAATGTCAAAAACTATCTTTACATGTAATTGGGAAAAATAAAATACTATTAAGTACAAAAAAGTATTCTTTACTTCTGATCTTTCATGTTCACTCCCATGGCTCACCAATCTGATCTCTACCTCCATTATTTCTTGGCTGGACTACTGCAATATGCACCTAACCAGTCCCCTTTGGACATGTAGGTGGCACAGGAGATAGAATATCTGACCTGGATTCAAGAACTGATTTCAAATCCCGCCTCAGATCCTTCCTAACTGTGTGTCCTTGGGCAAGTCACTTAACCTCTGTTTGCCTCGGTTCCCTTGTCTGTAAAATGGGGCCTATAACAGTACCTACCTTTTAGGGTTGTTGTAATGATCAAATGAGATAATGTTTGTAAAAGTATTTAGCACAGTACCTGGCACACTGCAGGCACCATATACATGTTAGCTATTATTCTTATTATTAATCTTAACAAATTCCCAGAGAAATCTTGCTAATGTATGTGATCCTATTGCTTTAGTGCTCCCAGATCTTTGGGGGCTTCCCATTGCTTCCTTGGCCTTGCATTCAGGACCCTAAACAATCTGGCTCCAGCCTCCTTTTGCAGCTTCATCTCACCTTCCTCTCTTCCATTTCACCAAACTGGTACTCATCAGAACCACATGCATCTCACATTGTCTTGTTTCTATGCCTCAGCTAATGCCGTTTCCCATTTCACAATCCCAACAATCTTACCCAGCTGAAATGATACTCCTCCTTAATGACCCAGCTCCAATGCTAGCTCTTCTATCCGATTTTTCTTGACCCTCCCCAAACCCGACCCGAGTGATCCTTTTCTCCAGTGAATTCTCTTATCACTTTGCTTCTACTTCTCTTATTCATTGACCTCATTCATTTTGTATTATTGTCAACCCCCTACATGACTGATTTCCCCCATTATATCATAAAATAACTCCCTTGAGGGCAGAGACCCAGGCTTGTCTTTGTATTTTTTCTTAGTCCAAATCGCATATCTTTGCATAAAATAGGTGCTTAATGAATGCATGTTGAATTAATGAAGATTTCCCTTGATAATTTTTGATCCTATGAGCTGATTTTAACCATATTTTAAAGGGGCAAATGACTTGAAATAAGGTTTCCATCTATTTTATTAGTAACAGATAAGTAAGATAGGTTTTCATTGAACCAATTAATTGCCTGTCTTCTAAATTCTCCATTTTATTTGGTTGGCCCATGTCTTTTGTCATCACTTTCATTATGCAATCATAATGCTGGTTGGGAACAGATCGTGCCATGGAAGCCAGGCAATAATGCCTTTCAGAAGCCACCAGAGAATGGATCTCCTGGGAGCTGTTCAAATAAAACATCTGTGGTTGGGCCCAAGAACATGTGGGAACTTCTCAGCATCTCAGGACTGGTCGCTTTTGCAGAGGTGAAAGGGAGATGAGGGAAAAGGGGCTTTCAAATACCAAGCCAAGTGCAAGAAGGGATCCAGCACTTTATCCCAACCAGTTTAAGATCATCTTAAGGCCCAAACCCAGATGTAATCAGGCTTCATGACTCTGGGTACTTGTCTTGGATCAACAGTGACTGCTTGAATCGTTGCCTTCAGTCCTGCCAAAACACTGCTCAAGGTAGGCTCTTTTTAAGGTCCCAGAGATGGTAAGAGTTATGTGTGACCCTATTTCTATGACAGCTGCCTCACTAAAAAATGTCTCATTCCTTTGTTTGAGACCTAGATAAGAGAGTGGTTATATATCATCCAAAAAGACTGCTATCATTTCTTATGGTTAGATCAAAGAGGTTAGGACAGAGATCCCAACTGGAATGACTACTGATTGCTTTTGACATGGAAAGCTATCAAAACTAAGGAAAAATATGACTCTCTTCCACATTGCTAGCACTCAAGTCCTTTTGGTAGATTTATTTCTATTCTTTGGTTCTCAGACTTTTTTTCCTCCTGGACACTAGAAAAATAAAGATTTTGCTGCTTATAACCCAGAATGCCTAATTTACAAAGCAAAGGACAATACCAATATACTTCCAGATACATTCATTCCCTAGAATCTGGTTGTTTGTTGCTTGTTGAGTCATATCTGACTCTTTGTGACCCCATTTGGGGTTTTCTTGGCAAAGATACTGGAGTGGTTTGCCATTCCTTCTCCAGCTCATTTTATGGATGAGAAAACTAAGGCAAACAGGGTCAAGTGACTTGCCCATGGCCACACAGCTAGTAAGTGTCTGAGACCAGATTTAAACTCAGGAAGATGAATCTTCCTGACTCCAAGCTTGGCACTCCATCCAGTGAACCACCTGGCTGGCCCAAGAATGTGGTAGGCAGCTATAAGTTGTATCTTAAGAAATGAATCACTCACCATTGAAATGGAGAACAGGGAATTATCAAAAGACATATCTGTAATGGGAGAAGAACAAAAGACAGGCCTATATCATTATTTTTAAAAAAATTCTCACCCCCCCCATCCCCATAGACTAGGATGAGCACAACAGGAAAGGGCAAACTCTCCTCCAGAGGAAAAAGGGAAACCTAGGAAAAGAACTTTCTCAAGTACAAGAACCTAAATATCAATTTGTCTCCTTACATCTTCATGGTCAAGTCTTCCATAACCTCCCTTTATCATTAGCAACCCTTTCCCATATGACCTCATGTAATGTTTTGTTTTATACATCTCTAACGCATTGATCCTGTCATGTTGGACCCTCCAAAGAGCTCCATGAAAGAGCAAGCTGTTTGGTCTAAACTTTGTATCTCCCCAGCACCTAACAGTGCTCTGCATACAGCAGGTATTTAATAAATATATCAAGTAAAAAACTTGACGTTTTCTTCCCATGACAAAGTCAGTATGAGCAGCTGGACAGCTCCCTTCTATCCCCTTTATTCTTAGGGAGAGCTAGGACCAAGAGTACAGGGGAAGAGAGGAGAAAAGAAGACAATCCTAGATGACTGAGGGTAGTTCCTTTGCCTTTAGCATCTCTCCTTGTAAGAACATCATTGACTGAAGGCACTGCAGTGAAGTTGGCTATAAACAGAGACTTCAGACCTGAAAAGTGAGGGTGAGATAATGCCCAGCAGTCAGCACATTCCTGAGAACCAGAACTCCAGTGCTCCTAATGAGCAGTTCCAGAAGTGGGCTAACTGAAGGGTCACTAGACCCCTCTGACCTCAGAAGAGACTGACTGTCTAAGACAAATGGTACAGGAAGAGACAGCCTATGGTGTCTTCACTACTCAATGTGGAGCTAGGGACACACACCTGAAGTAGTATAGTTTATCTTGGTCCAACAGGATTCTTGCTCTCTGCAAATGAAAAAAGGAAAGAATAAAAACTATTCCTCTTAAAAAGTACTTTGGGCCTCTCTTATGCACTCTTCTTGTCCCATTTTGCATCATCATTATTCGTGCTACAGGGTGTCCCAAAAATCTTGGTGCAGTTTGAAGCTATTAAAAAGTATAATGCATAAGGGTAGGAACTGCATCTTATTCATCTTTCTATATCCTTCAGCATGTGGTATACCCTGTTATATACATAATTGGTGCTTAAATGTTTGTTGAACTGAATTGAAAGGAAAATGCCTTACAGCCCAATACTAAGAAAGACTTTATTTCTCAAATAGGAAAACAATGAGAGACCCAGAGAAAGGCTTAAATCTTAGGCTCCCCAGAAACTCTTAGAACTCACTTCTCACTTTGAATCTAAGCAATATAACCAAGGATTGCCTCCACTACACAGGCACCTTCCACCCCAAAGTGGGCTGTCTTAGTGTAGGAATAAAGTGGGAGACATCACGGACTCCGAAGGAAGCCACTCCTACTTTCATCATCCACATTCCCTGAACCAGTTATTTTCTCAAAATACTCTGATTCTTCCCAGATCATCCCAGGACAAAAGGTATGGAGACTGATGTTTCCTCCACCACATGCCCCCTGAAGTTCTCCTGGACCCACCTCACCTTTTTTTTTGAAGGTTTGTGATTTTAACTGGCAAAAACAAAAACAACAAACATCAAAACAGTATTAGATTGATCCACCAATACGTTTGTGTTGCAAAGAGTAATTCTCTATAGTTTTGGCAACCCTAGACTCAAACCTGGCACTTCCAGTGCCTAATCTGACTTTCTGGTTTCACTGAGGGAAACAGAGTCAGGCAGAGATTTTATATAATCTAAGCAGACCTGTGATCTTCACAAGAAACAATAGTTTCTAGGAAACTGAGGCTTTGGGAGGGTCCTGCGTGGGATGGAATTGCCCCCTCCCCCTGAATAGCTTAAAGCACTTGGGAACACTGGCCTCCTTAAGAATAAGGTCATTTTTCCCCTGGGAAAGATAAGAAATCCATTTACCTCGTCTAATCACTAGAATGGTCACAACCAGTATCATAATGAGGATGAATGCTCCAGCCAGACCCAGGGAGAGTGGTAAGATCCAAGAGGGAACTAGAAAATAGGAACAGTGAGATTGGACAGGTGAGGAAGAGAGAAGCAATAGAAAGGAAAGGGAAGGAGGTGCTCAAGGCTTTGCTTCACCACAAAGGGTAGGCTTGTTGGGCTGGGAGCACCAGAGGACTAGCTGAGGCTCCCATTCTACCATACTGCAAGGGACAAGAGGACCTTGCTTCTCCAAGGCTGCAGAGGTGAGCAATTGACCAAGGGTATATCAGAGTCTGATTTTCTGGAAATCCTACAAAGGATTTAACTCAGTGTTCTCTACTTAGTGGAAGTCACTGTTTCTAGACAGCAGCAACATTTCTTGAACTCACTTTTATGTTGGGGCCCCTGTGACACCAAAGACACTCCAAGAACAGACTTGTCTGCCTCTGAGAAATTAGTCCTGGGAACTCAAGAAGGGCAGCAGACAGAGCCATTCAGTCCTTCCCTCCCTCCCTCTCTCCTTGCCTTTCTTTCCCAGTGGATCCACTTTACTTGGAGAAGTTGGTAGGGTTGTGGTTGGCAGCACGTAAACTGGAAAAGAAAAATCAGAATGAGAGCAATTTTCCCGGGACATGGAGCTGACTTCTTCCATAGCTTTTCTCCCCAGCTTCACTATATGTTCAGAGAAGGATACGGGATACTTTCTGACAGTTTTGTAGCTAGCTACTGTTGCATGTTAAGTTGTGAGCTCTAACATATCGCCTTCTCACCTTGGAAGACCACCATGTAAATTCTCCAGGAGGTAAAGAGCGAAACAATAGATGGTGTAGTAGGACAGGTGAAGCAGGACTAGCCCATGAAGAGCTGGAAGAGTGAGCAGGTGGAAGGGGCTGTACCTGTCCAACATGATAGAAAGTACCAAAAAATGAGCAGGCCCTTACCTGGAAAGGTCACATTCACTGGCTTGCTCAAATCTGAGAACTGCTTGACAATCTCACCCATCACACTGTACTGACATCGGTACTGCACTGTAATGCCTTCGCTCATGTTGGTCACTGTGAAAACCACTCCCTGCTGGGCCTCTTGAGCTTGCAGTGTCTGGACCACCCCATCTCCATGGAACAGTGAAAACTCAGCCTCCTGGAAGCCTCGGGGGGCCACACATTGAAAGTGGATGGGATCCCCTGGATTGCTAGGGTATGGAGGGGTCTGGGAAATAGAGGGAGCCGGTATTGCCAAAGAGCCTGAAAAACGAAGTACACAAGGAAAGGGTTTTGAGTGTGGAGAGAATTCATGGGGGGGCTACATAGCAATGCTGAGGTCTGCTGGACTTGGGTTCAATTATCATCTCGTCTATTTGCTCTAGGGCAAGTCACCAGACCTCTGGACCTCAGTCTCCTTATCTGTAAAATGGCTTCTAACCTCCTTTTTATCTCTAAATCTATGACCTGATGACCAGCAAGGCAAGTCTGCCCTGGAAGGGATAAGAGTTCTTCCCTTGAAGGTCAACATATCATAGAGTGCCCTGGAGCCTCCACCCACCACACATTTCCTTCCAGGGTACATTCAGGGGCTCAGGGGTCAGGGAGTTACACTTATCCTTTCAAAGACAAAGACAAAGGCCTGGACACACCACTATCTACAGTACAAAGCATGTATTCCTGGGGTAAGGTACTGAAACTGGTACAACACACACCCTGAGAAATCTGTACAAACAAGCCTCCTTTTCCTCAAGTCTAGCAAGTGCTATCAAAGGTTTCCAGATATTATGTTCAACAAATTAGAAAGTGATTCCTGATGCCCAAGGTGTCATCAGATAAAGAAACTTACCAGCTACAAAAAAGAGGACTTTCCAGGGCATCTCTTCACTGAGTTCAGTTATGATTCTGGCTGAAGAGAAACAAATACTCACAACCAATTCCTTGTGAGGCAAGAAGAAAAGAGTTTACCAGGGCAGTTTCCTCATCCAGGGAGGAAGTTGCACACTCTTGAACTGAAAGGGAATTGCTGTTCTACCCTCCCCTTTTACAAATGGTATGTCAAACCAAGGAAGCTAAGTTCTATATTTTCAGTTGAATTCTACAGATTTTATGAATTTGAGAAACAATGTTTTTGCTTTTCCCTCTTTCTTTAAAGGCAGTGGAAAAGGGGAAGGGTCATTTGGCTACTTGAAAACCCATTCCCTCAGGTACAAACCACAATACATTAAAGTTGGAATAAAAACCTGGACTATTTTCTTGAACTGGTGCTGGCTGTTTCAACTTGAGAAGCCTTTCCATAGGCTTATTAACCAGAAAAAAAAAATAACTAACCCCAGTCCTTGAACTACTCTTCTGCAATAGAAACCTCCTGCTCCCTCTGGTATCTCTTCTTGAATTCATAGGTGTGGCTTGACATCACATTTTGGGAAAAATGTGAATGATGTGTCAGTAAGAATGCACATAAGAAGAGTGACAAATATAAAGTACCTCCCCCTTCCCTTATTCATTCATTTTTTTCATACACGTAACAAATACAGCTACTATACAGCTACTATAACAAGGACTGTGGGACTGTGCTCTTAAAAACAAGAAAAAGACATCATCCCTGCTTTCAAGGACCTTCTAGCCTAGTAAAATATGACTAATGCTGAGAGGAAAAAAATGGGATTGTTTAGGTAAAAGAGAAACTGAGGGATCCATGTGAGCATAATGTTGGAGGAGGGATAATAGCTACTTAGTTCTCAAAGCTACTTTGGGAGCAATGGACCCAATTAACAGCAGAGAAAGTGTGAATTAATACTAACAGCATCATATACCATATAAGGTTATTCATAAACTGGCACAGTTCCTCGAGGGTGGAAATCACTGAGTAGGCATTTTAAAATAATCACTAATATTAAGAGTTTCAGTTGCCCCTAAACTGCAGGACCAGATGTCCAGGTGATTTCTTGTATCCCTTTTTCTGACACTTGAAGATTATAGCTTCTGTTTTGTCTATACTGCATCTTTATGCAGATGATTTTTTAATCATCTTCTAGGTGAAAGCTTTTTTGCCTCCTCCAACTCCTCCCTTTTATCCACATCTCTTAGCACAATGACTAGCCCAAAGGTGCTTACTTAATAAATGCTATCTGACTGAGAATACTTTAGAAAGTGACTTTAGACACAATTTGTCAGTTCCAACAGTTTATTCAAACTGCTCTCTTTTCTCTCTCCCATTTAACTAAATCTCTTCAGGTCGGGATCAAGCCACTCTCTTTGCTTCCATACTTCTATAAATTCCTATTGCTAATTATAGTTTGTGTCTTAACAATCTAACTCTAATCCTTTTTTTTTTTAATTAATTTTTTTCTCTTTTTAGGCAATTGGGGTTAAGTGACTTGCCCAGGGTCACACAGCTAGTAAGTGTCAAGTGTTTGATTTGAGGCTGGATTTGAACTCAGGTCCTCCTGACTTCAGGGCCAGTGCTCTATTCACTGAACCACCTAGCTGCCTGCCCTCTAATCCCTTTTCTAACTGTTTACTGGGCATTAGTTCATTTCTCCAACTAGGTTGTAAACTCCTTGAGTCTAAGGCGTATTTGATATTCTATGTTTCACAGCACAGGGCTGGGAATACAGGTATTCACTGAAGTTGGGTTTATAAATCTGGTCCTCATCTTCAACACACTAGAATTTCCCAAGGCTGAGAGGGAGGAAAGTAAGTGTCTTATGTTTAACTGGCAATTAAGGCCCTTATTAATTTGGCCCAAACCTCTCCTTTCAGCTTTATACTAAGCGATATATAGTGGGAAGAACACACTGGATTTTAAGTGTCAGGAGATATGAGTTTGACTCCTGTTCCCAATACTTTACTGTGTAACAAGCTCTGTGATTTTGTTTCCTCATCTCTAAGATAGGGATATTCTTTGCACTATCTTAGTCACACGGTTATTTTAAAAAATTGTTTTATAAACCTTAAATCAATATTCAAATATGAGCAATTATTATTCCCCTTTACACACAATTGTTTTCCATCTTCTCTTGCCACATCAAGATATGAACAGTCTGGTGAGCTGGTCCTCCATGCCTGTAATGCACTCCCATTTCATCTCAGTTTGTTGAAACCATCCTCTCTTCAAGTCCCATCTCAGGAGCTACTTCCTCCAAGAAATCCTCCCAGATTTCCTCATCTGAAGGCGATTTCTCCCTCTGCAAAATTTCTCAGGGTCCTCAATGTTGTCAGCTATTACATTTGTCTGAATTGCTCCCTTTACATACTACTTTGTTTTACACTAATGTGTATAATCACTACCCCTTAGATTTTAAAGGCCTTGAATAACTAATTCCCATTTAGGTAAGTGTTTTATCAGGTGCAAAGTACTTTTATCACAAACACCCTGTTAGACGTCTAGTGTAATTATTATTAACTCCATTTTATTGATGAAGAAACTGAGGTGAAGTAACTAACCATCACCCCACAGATATTAAGTCTTTGATGCAAGATGCAAAACAGGCCTCCAAGTGCTTTCCACTAAGTTATGCTTCTGGAAAGTGGAAAGAAAACAAGCCCTGGATTCCAATTCTCCACTTCCCCTCACCCCCCCCCCCAAGATTTCAGAGAAACCTGGAAAGACCTGTGTGAACTGATGACAAAGTGAACAGAACCAGGAGAAAAAATCTACACAGTAAGGCAGTATTGTAAAGATAATAAGCTTTGAAAGACTTAGAAACCGATCAGCACAAAGACCTAGTACAATTCCAAAGGACTTCATGATGCTATCCACTTCTAGACAGAAAACCAACTCAAGTAGGTTGAAGTCACTTTTTTTTCTTTTCCTGTCTTTTTTTTGGGAAACGTGACTAATGCAGAAATTTGTTTTGCATGAGTATACAGATTTGCAATGGACTTTGTTTTTCTTGCTTTCTCAATGGGTAGGGGAGGAGTAGAAGAAGATTATTTGGAATTGAAAAAATACACCAAATTCCTCCCCCTCCATCCTCCCCTGTCGTGGCCCAAGGCAAGTCATTTGACCTCCCAGTTTCCTCAATTGTGGAAGGGTGTGGGGGGTATGCTGGGCTCGGGGCCACCCAGAAATCCGGGCTGTAGGGAGGAACAGGGGTCACGGGCGAAGGGTGCGGCCAGGCCCCTCCCCGGAGAGGGCGGGCCGCGAGACCCCGACACCACCCCACGCTCAGCCAGACCACGCGAAGAGACGGGGAAGCCGAGTAACTGCCAACAGCTCCCCCCTCGGGGCATTCTGGGAAACGGTCGCGCGGCTCCTCCGTGAGGCCCCCTAGTCCCTCCTTCTGGCCTGGGCTTAGCTGTCTCGCCGATTGCCTGAGGGGGATGGCTCAGCAGGAGCTCTGGTTTCGTCCCACCGAGTTCCCGCGGAGGGGCTGCTTCCAGAAAGGAAGAAAACGAAGGGGAGAGCAGGGCCTCTCTCCGATCCCAGCGATGGGGCAGAAGGGGCGGGACTCCTCGCCCAACAGGCAGGCGTGGGAACCAACAGTGCGGAGAGGTAGCCGGGGAGCGGAGCCAAGCCTTAAAGGGGCCGCGTCCCTTCCTCACACTGCCGGATGACCCGGATGATGGCGGCAAGGGCGGCCCTGGCCCTTGTCCTGGCGGAATGGCTATCGCCACTGGTGGCCGGGACAGCGGCCGAGCCTGGCTCCCGGGCTCCCCCACCTCAGGACGGCGAGTTCACATTTTTGCTGCCTGCTGGCCGTAGGCAGTGTTTCTACCAGCCCGCACCGGCCAACGCCAGCCTGGAGGCCGAGTACCAGGTGGGGGTGGGGAAGCTGGACGGTGGGGGGAGGGGAGCCCGAGACGATTGGGGTCCCTTTGTGGGCGGGGCCAGAGGCTTAGGTCCGCTAGGGGCGGTTCCATAGCCTGGGGCCCTGATGAGTAAGGGGGCGGGGCCAGAACCCGGCATTCGAGAAGGGGCGGGGCTAGATCAGGAGGTGGGGTCTTAGACCCTGGGACTTAGAAAGTGGGACCAAGACACAATAAGGGCGGGGTTGGAAAAAAGTGCCTTGGAGGGGCGGGGCCAGAGCCCTGGAGGCTAGGGGATGGGAGGGGGTGAGGAGACTACCTGGGGAATGGGAGCGAGGATGGGATCCTAACTTTACCCTGCAAGCAGTGTGGGCCCCTGGCTGCTGGGTGGCCGGGACCCCTCCGGCTCTCCTGTCAGCGTTCCCCGAGGCTGGTCGGTTCAAGCCTTGAGAGTGGGGGCAGTCCTCATACCTGCATTCAAGGGGGGGCCCCCCTGTTTTGCCTCTGCCTCCAGGTCATCGGAGGTGCTGGGCTAGATGTGGATTTCTCCCTGGAGAGCCCTCGGGGTGTGCTGCTGGTTAGTGAGTACCGCAAGTCCGATGGGGTGCACACGTGAGTATACCTTCTCCTGGCCCCACGCTGTCTCCCAGTGTCCCCGTCCCCACCCCACCCCCTTTTACCTCCCAGGTTGCCTGCCCTACTTTTGAAGGGTTTGGTTACATCTGCCAAGCCTGACCTGGCCTCAGGTTACCCACTGTTACCTGCCAGGGCTGCAGGGCCATCTCCTTGGCAGAATGGGGTGAGTGGGCATGTTACCCTATCCAGCTCGAGGAGCTGCTTATTCTCTTCTCTCATCTCCAGGGTGGAGCCCACAGAGTTCGGAGACTACAAGCTGTGTTTTGACAATTCCTTCAGCACTATTTCAGAGAAGCTAGTGTTCTTTGAGCTCATATTTGACAGTCTACAAGATGAGGAGGATAGTGATGGTGATGGCTGGGCTGATGTGGTGGAGCCTGAAGAAATGCTTGACATCAAGATTGAGGACATTAAGGTGGGAACTGGATTTCTACCTCCAGCCCAGAGCAGCATCTGTTCTCCCTGACCCAGCTGCTTAAGACTCTTTCAGCAGCTCTGAAGAACAGCTCTTTAGTAAAAGGGAAATGTTGTAATGGTTTATATTTACATAGTAGTTTGAAGTTTACAAAGCACTTCCCTTTCGACTCAGTGAAATAGGTAGTACGAATATTATTAGTATATTTTTAAATGAGAAAAAATAAGACTCAAGAGAGATACAGCAACTTGCCCGAGGTCATTCAGCTAATAAGTGGGATTTAAATTTTGACCTACTTGGTTTCCACTGCACTGCTAGATGTACTCAGTACTTCCATAGTACTGCTTTGGTCTCACTGGGAAATTTGTGCCTTTACCACACACTTGGTCTTCCTTTGGAATAGTGGGAGGAATTCCCTGCCCAGTCTATGAGGTTTGTATAAATATTAAACCTGGGTGGGCTGTTTCAGGCTAAGGGGATGGGGCCTGACTCAATTTTAGGGACCAATATGTCCAGGCCTTGTCTGAGAAGCTTGCCTCTTCCCTTCTTCCCCATAGGAGTCCATTGAGATGATGAAGACGAGGCTGGAGCGAAGTATCCAGGTGCTGACTCTGTTGAGGGCTTTTGAAGCTCGAGACCGTAATCTGCAGGAGGGCAACCTTGAGAGGGTTAACTTCTGGTCTGCTGTTAACGTGGGGCTGCTGCTGTTAGTGGCTGTGCTACAAGTGTGCACGCTCAAAGGCCTCTTCCAGGACAAGCGGGCTGTGCGCACATAGCCTTCCCTGGAGAGGGGTAGCTTTGGGAGGGAATGGGGGGGGGTGTGGAGGGAGTCTCTCTCCTGCCCAGGGTCTATTCATAGCCCTGGGTTTAGGAACAACTGAACTTCCTTAGGGGAAGCAGTTTAAAACTGACCAAGAAAGGGTCAGGAGAAACCTGGGGTGCTGGCCCCTCCCCTTTGTCAAGGACATAAGAGGGTGGGTAGAGGATTTTTTTTTCTCTGCATAGAAAGATGAGGCAGGTACTTAATTCAGAGGCTTCTAGGAGGTCTTTTGTCCTCTGGAGCTCAGGGGTATCCTCAGGATACCCCAAACCTAAGTTGAAACAGAAACAAAGGCCTGAGCAGTGAATGAACAGCTGGGATGGTGTGGGGGATGCATTATGGGACTTCCTGTCCTGGAAGGGTTGTGCCTTATTAGAGGTGCAGATAAGGAGCTGCAAGCTCCATAACTGAAGAAAGCAAGGAGGGAGAGATGGGGTGAAATCTTTTGTTCCAAAGCTGCCCAGAGAGTAAAGATTATCTCCCCCCAACCCCCAGGTGCCTTAAGTATTATCCATCCTGGGGCAAACTCCCCCCACCCCCATCTCACCCCGTTCCCTCTCCCGCCAGTCTAGGTGTCCCCTGGGTCAGGCTGTGGCGTCATTCTTTAGACTCCAGGCTGAGTCCACTCCCAGAATGGCCACATGATCTTTCTCTTCTCCCTCCACTCTGTTATTTCAGTCCCCCAAATGCCAGCTGCTCAGAGACAAAATTAGCCCTGTGTGGGGCTGGTGCCTAGTCCCCAGCAGAAACAGACTAAGAGATGGAATACAAACAGGAGGGGGCAACCCCCTTGTGCCTCACCAAGAACTTTTAATGAAACTCAGACACTGTCATGTGCTTGCCCAGGACTGTCAGTTTATTGGAGACAGACTAAGTTGTTCTCCTCCAGCCTGGCACTGCATGCAGGGGCAGGGGGAGGCTTTGGCTCATGGCCTAATAAAGTTCTAAACAGCACCAGTGTGGCTGCATCCCCAACTGGAGGACTCGACCCACTCAGTCTGTGTTTGAAAGAGACTTTCAAACCAAATGAAAGCCCTTGGGAACCAGTTGGCCAAGGGAACAAGGGCAGTACCCTTACTGGGCAGAAAGCTGTTAGCCAGGGGTAGAAAGGGGTGACTCCTGAGCCACATGGAACAAAGTACCAGCTCTGGTTCAATAAATTACTCTTGGAATCATGGAGTGTGTGGTGACTGGGGCCTAGGCTGGGGGCACAAGTGGATTGCACCTAGGGCCTATGCCCCTGAAAACCAGCCTCTCAAGTCTGGGCCTAGAGCAACATGACCAGCAGGAGTGAAAGCCAGCTCTCCATGGTGCCACTGTAGGGAGCTCAGGCCTAGTCTGAATGGGAAAATGTCCCCTCAGCTCCCAAGGCCCACAGGGCAGTGCCTTGGGCAAAGGCAGCAGATTGGCACCTAGAGAGACAGATGTCTCTCAACCAGATGAAACTCAGAAGAAGGGCTGGGAAGGAGCAGAAGGAGGTGGTCGCCTGAGCACAAGAGAGAAATAGAAACAATAAGTTTAACGTTGTGGAGAGAAAGCCGTGGAGTGGGCGGGCCTCTTTGACAAAACCAAGTGTAGGAGTGGATTCTTTGTTAAGAGTGGGACAATTCTGCCTTTCCCAGGGAGTCAGATCTTGGGGTGATGTGGGCAGATGTCTCCAGGTAGAGGGTTAAACAGTTCTGACCAGCTGAAAAGCTTGGGCTTCTGCCAGATTCAGTCTCCTCTCAGGGACTACTCCCTGTACAGTTCTGGGAGCCTTGCTCTACATTTGGTGGAACCTCTGCCCTTGGTAACAGGATAGAAATTCTGCAGGCAGCAGGACAAACCCTCTCCAAGGCAGGCGGCTTTGGTTTATTTGCCTGGTTTTGGACCCACAGGACGAGAGCCATTACTAGAGGCCAGACTAAGGCAAGATGAAGTGAATGCAGAACTTACTAACAGTATCTTGCCATCCACAGTACTTTGGTTGGTGGGAAATTGTAGCACCAGTTTAAATACCCCCAAGTCTCCAGGGAGTAGTTTCTCTCTATTCTAAATCTCTGACCAGATTCCCTATCCAAGCAGCTCCACATCCTTGAAAAGACATCGAAGCCTATGCCTGAACATTTATAGGGCTGGGCAAGGTCTGAAGGTGGGGATGGATAGAGGTGGTTCTGGGGATTAGAGGCTCAGTAACTGCTTGGCTGGCTGTCCTGGAGAAACAGCCGGCAGGTAAAGATGGATGGGGTGGGGCAGCTAATTCTGATATTCCTGGTACCTCCACAGAACTCAGGCCTAGGGTGAGAAACAGGGACAGCATGGACAGGGCTGAGCAGGATTCTGGGACAGTAAGGGGACCCTCAAGAAGCAGATTCTCATCCCCTTTACTCCCAAAGACAGGAGGAGACAAACACCAGCCACCAGTAGCTTCCCTTTATTTTTAGTTTATTAATAGGGTACAGAGCAGAGGCACTTACACTGGTCAAATTGAGTGAAGGAACAAGTTAAGTCCTACAGAGAGGTGCCAGCGTGACCAGAGCTGGAGCCCATTTCCCACACAGGGTCCTAAACGTGTTAGGTCTGGCAGATGTTTTGCCAGCCAGGCCAACATCAGCTCTGAGCCTTGGGCAGTCCTCAGGCAGGCATGGTCCCTGATCCAAGTGCTCCCTGGCCTGGGGTTGGGGGTGAAGGGAAGACCACTTTCCCAAGAGTCAGTTCTGCACCCCAATGGGTCCCCATCCCTAGCAGGGGCTTTAAGGCAGCTCTGGGGTTTAGGGTGGATTTAAGGGCTGGAGATTATTCTCTGGAAGCTTAACACAGAGGCTCCAATGCAGCAGTGTTTGGGCTTGGGCTTGACATTTTAGTTAAGCCTGACTTCCAGAAGGACTATGTACAGCTGGAGGTGTGCAAATACACCAGTGGCTAGGAGTGTAAAGGAGCAGTCCGTGGCAGTGGAGAGATCAAGAAGACCACCAAAACTCTGGCCACCATAACCCCCACGACCTCCAATACTGGGCTAGCTACTTTCTGACTAGGTTCATCTGATAACCCCAGGCCAGGCCCTGGTCCTTGCTACTTCACGATTTACTGTCACTCTGAGCTCCTGGGGTGATGAACATGAGTGAGACTCATGGTGAGAAGAGCAGTAGTCCCCATTCTGGCCCGGGGCTAGGGGTAGGAGTGGGGGGGGGGCCCAAGACTTAGTACTAACTGGTCAGCAAGACTCTCTCCCCAAACAAGGTGACTTAGGGAAGAGAAGCCCTGACCCCACTGGCTCATCTGGTAATAGCACATCATTTAACTTGAGTACAAAGGATGTGGCAGCTCACCTGGTCTCCAGTTTACATTTGGTTTAATCACAAGTCACTCAAAGGGCCACAGACACAGAAACACAGGCTCTTGCTGTGCCCAAAGCCCAAGACTCATCGTCCCTCCCTCCCCCATACATATATCATTTATACATAAACAGTGCCTAGGACTGATGGGCTGAGCTGACAGGCCACTACATCAGTCCCACCCCTCTGTCCTAACTCAGGTCCCAGACCTCATTCACAAAGTGCAAGAACCCGACCCCACTCCAGGCTCCCCAGGACCGCTCAGTTCAGGGGTAAGTGCAAGTGCCTTGGAAGCCTGCAGAGCTGCGTCCCTGGCCTGTCAGCGAGCCCCTGGGTGCTGCCTGCCTCTGTGCTGGGATGGGCAAGGAAGGCAGGTGTGCCACCACGCCCACTGCCTGGCAAACGTGGCCTCAGGCCTGGCTATCAGGGACTAAGGGAGAAAAAGGGGAAGGGAAAGAGGCCTCAGGGCCCAGAGCCACATTTCCTTTCTACAACCTTGGGTGCCCCTCAGAGCCAACAGTGTATAGAAACCCCACCCACAATGGTACCCTGATGGTCTGGTTGTCACACCCCACTGAGTACATGGGCTTTTTTTAGAACCCAAGGTTAATCTAGCAATGATGGTTCCGCCGGGCGGATAATGGTTGGCCGGTTCGGTGCGGCAGGGGGTCTTCTGCTGTAAAGAAAACAGAAACATATGGGAAGAGAACCCAGTGAGGATGGGAAAGGCAAGCCAAGAGGGGAAACAGTAGCATGAGCTACAGGGCTGTTGGCTTAGTCAAGATTCTCCAGTCTCTCCCCTCAACCCCCCTCAGAGCATAGGAGAATCCAAGCACCAATGGGGAGGGTCCGAAGATCAGTCACTTGGCTGGGAGCCCTAGCGCATCCTTTCATGGACAAAACAACTACCTCTAAGCCAGACCCCCTCTGCCTTGACCTTGGAAGCTGGAGGAGGATTCTTCCACAAAGAACAACTAATCAATTGAAAAAAGAATATTGGCTCCCATGGCCAGCAAGCCCCCTGCTGAGAGCAAAGAGGTAAATGTCTGTGTGTAGTAGGTCCTGAGGGGATGGGGTTAGGGAGGCTGGCAGCCATGCTCCCAAAGGGTTTGCTGGGACAGAGCTGAGCTTTGCCAGGGTTGTTTTTTCTCATACTTAAGTGCCATGTGAGTGAGGGACCTTCTAACTCAAAAAGTACTGAAGACAACAAGGCTGTCCCTGGCAGGGAGAAAAGGGAAAAGGGAACAGGCAGGGGTTTAAGATGAATCTTACCTGGGCACACCAGGGGGGATGCCAGGCGGAATGCGTGCTGGCCGAGATGGGATCTGAGGTGGGGCTGAAAAGGGATCACTGTTAGTGAAGACATTTTGAGGTCCAGGCCGAGAGGGAATAGGGGGAGCCACAAAGGAAGCAGCGACTCCTACAGGCACAGGGATCAGAGGTGGACCCGGGGTAGGGCCCCTGACTGCAGGGGGTCTTCCTGGGGGAGGCACACTGGCAGGAGGTCGATGCTGAGGTGTGGGACTGAAAGAGAAGACAGAGAACAGAGGTTGGGATCTAGAGTTGTGGAGGGGCCAAGTGTCAGCAGGTAGCAGTAGGATGAACCAGGATGAGGACCCAAATCTGTTTCCTGGACTCTGAGCTGGATCCACCTGCCAATTATGGCTTGAGGCACCTTAACTGTTGGCCAATGGCTATCTGCCCTCGAGTCCCTCAGGGCTGGGGATCCTACACACCCCCTTCCCCAGCTATCAGGTCCTCACTAGAATTGTAAAATCAAAGACTCAGAAGGGAATACAGAGGTTCTCTAGTCCAACAAGTGGTCAGTCAGCCTCTACTGGAATACCTTTAGGCAAGCTTTCTGGAGCAAGGGTGATAAGAACACATATATAATATACATAATATAATGATATGATATACTCCTTTATACTGAACCGACCCTGCCCCTACTTCTATCCACTGGTCCTAGTTCTGCCCCTGGGCAAGCAGAAGTGAAAAGAAAAAAGAGGCCCAAGGCCTCTTCCCTCCCCTTAAAGCTGCCCTGGGTGCCTTAGCTGCAGGTGCCCACCCTTCTCCCCAGGCAGCCTTGCAGATGTCTGGCCAGACCTGTGCCGACTGCTAGAACTCTGGAGCCATGTGTCATCCACAGGTGGGGGCACCGGGGTAGACACAGTGCTGGTGCTGATGTCCCCAATGATGTTAAGTGCCTCCTTCAGGGCATGGTACATGCGCAGCATGTCTTCTCGACGCTGTGCCTGGTCCGCAGATTCCTCCATCAGGCTGCTCTGGTCCGCGGAGGAGTAGAGATAGGCCAGTAGCTCTGAGTGGATGAAGGCCTTGGTCTGTGGTATGAGGAGAAAAGCCCAGAGATCAAATTAGGGGGACGGGGGACGACAGGGTTATGCCTCTTCTCCACTGACAGACAGTACAGGACATGCACAGGATAAAATATGGAGACCTGACTAGCCCCAAAGAAACCCAAAGAAAGCCCATCCTGGTGAACTTAAGCCCAATTCCTCAGAGCCTTCCCATCAGACTTTGCCCTTTCCCTCCTGGGGACCTGGACCAAGATCTCAAAGGTGACCTACTGAAAATATAAGACTCCTGGGTAAATATTCACATCCCAGACTTCCCAGGTCCTTGGACATGTTGCAGGGGGGCCTAAGCACAGAAGTTCTCCCTTTGGTCCAGCTACCCAAGTTTGAGTCTCCACATCCTGGGCACTTGGAAAACTCACATTGTTGATCATGAGATGCATGATTGTCTTTGGCATGAGGTCACGGATAGACTTGTTGATAATCCTCACATAGGAATCAACAAGGTTCCTGATGGTTTCCACCTGGCGTTCCAGTTGAGGGTCCATGGAGAAGGTGTTTTCCTGGGCCCCGTCCTCATTCTCAGCCTGGTCCAGGGTCAAAAGAAAGTTGTGAGTGCTTCTTATAGCCAACTCTATCCTCTCACATGATGAGAAGAACTCAAACACAAGAGAACTGATTCTCGGTGAATACCCTCTACCCACATGGCAATGCCTTGGGCCTGGCCCACTCCAAAGTTCCATTCACTCCCTTTCCCTCCCTCATCCCCAGATACTAGACAGGTACCAACCTGGTCTTTCTCAGGATAGACCCCAGCTCGGAGGAAAGAGGCTTTCCAACTATCTACATCCTCCTGGGAGTCACAGGCTAGCTCAATCTGACGTAGGTCCTTATAGACATTCCTGCAGAAAGTAAAGTACAAATAAGAGGTTTGCTGAGGTGCTGCCCCATTCATAGCCTTGTCCTTCCACCTCACTCATGGCACCTGGCAGGATGATTCAGGGTCCAGCGATTGTGGCAAGTGACAATGTACAGGGTCCCCGACCTAGGAAGTGGCCCCACAACTTCACCATATATGAAAAGAACCTTTATTGCTATTGGGGGCGGGGGGTGGGGGAATGTTTAAAAAAATTGTTCCTTTAAAAAAAAAAAGGCAGTCAGTGAAGAAATCAGAACCAGAAAAACATTACACATGGTGACTACAACCATGTAGTTAAAGATAACAATAGTAACACATTATATCCTACACACAGTAAAAGTCAAAAGGAGATGTAAAATGATGGTATGGATACTATGTAAAACTAGACAAACACATCTTGCAGGGGTGGAGTCAAAGAATGGTAAGTAATGGAGGTCACACGCTTCTGCAGTCATTTATCATCTCTGTTGCTGCTTGTCCGTCTGTTTCTATTTTCTAATACGCTGTTCATATATATGAATACCTGTATTTGTCATCTGGAGTAACGTAGCACAAAAAAACAAAAGGCAGCAGAATAATCTTTAGCCTGCTAAAGCCTTTGATAATGAGATCAACCTAGAGCAAACTAATAAAACAACCATAACATTTCTGATGGGAAAGAAAGGACTACCTAGGGCTTCCATGAAGGCCAGCATATTAACACTCATGACTTTTTCTCAGGCTGAGGAAGAAAAACAAGGGAGCACAGGGAACTTGAAAGGGCAAAGTTCAGCACTCATCTGTTTTCTTTTTCATACCTAGGGAAGTTGGGGCCAGGGGGCAGAAGTTGCCGCTGCCACCACCATTACTATGATGCTATAAGAGAAAGGCCCTGAGCCCTGCTCTGCCTCAAGCCTTCTGAACAAGCCAAGAAAGATTCAGTCCCCTGGGGAGGGGCGGGGAGAGAAACACAATGTTCACCAGTTGTTATCAAGGTATGAAAATGTATTTTTAAATCTTGCTCTAAATCATGTGCCCTCCTACCACTAGTAAAAAAACCCCAAAAAACCCTAGTAAAATGGTAATGCTTAAACAATTTAAATTTATAATTTAAAAATTAGCATGTTTTGAGGTTGGTTAAGACACAAAGGCCACACTCAACCTAACAGGCACAACAAAATGAAACTGGTTCTCAAAGCTCTGAACTGCAGTCCCCCTGAAACTGGCTCAAGAATCTGAAAGGCTCAGAGACAGCCATCTATGTTACAGAGCAGAAATCTGTTCGAGCTCAGGTAGGCACAGTCAGACTGGTCAAGCCATGCTCTGGCTTCAAGTCACTCAAATGGGTGCTAGCATTTAGAGGGAACGTGGGGCACAGCAGGGACATCCTCACCTCTGCTCTGTGTTGAAGATAGCAAAGATGTGCTTAGTGGACATGAAGCCCTTTTCCACATCTCGAATTTTGAGGTTATCCAACGGCAGCATGTACTTCTTCTCTTTTTCCTAAAATGTACAGGAGGGAAAAAAATGACACAAATAACTCCCCCAAGCAGGGTGACACAGCTTTAGAAAACGTTGCCATTTTCATTTAGGTTACTTAACTTGCCTAATGTGGCTGCCGCCGCCACCACTACTACATGTACTGTATGAGAAAGGCCCTGAGCCCTGTTCTGGCTCAGGGTGCAGGAGCTTGTCTAAACTCCATCAAATTCGGGACGGTTTCATTTTTGGATCCCCACATCCTAGTACGGTGCCTGTCACAAGTGCTTAGCAAGAACTGGTTGCCTAATTGCCAGCTTCTCTGGTACCTGCAGGAAACACTGATTCAATTAGCTGGCTGGCAGTTTGTGGACCACAAATAGGACAACTCAGAAACAAAAGAGTCTATGGGATCTAGACTTCTGTAGGGCAGGAGCCATCATACCCTGCTTATCCCTGCGACCCTCAAAGCACCAAGCATACAGAAGACCTGGCACACAGAAGGTGCTTAATAAATATCTGTTGTACAGATGATAGGAAAAGTGGAGGGCAAGTATCTAGCTTCCAGATCCACACTTAAGTAAGTCTTGAGTTTGCTAGAGTTCCTGCTGACAGATATGGGCAAGGAAGAAGAAAGCCAGAGAGCAGAATGGGTCATGTGTGCCTCCCAAACCAAACTTTGAGAATGGCGAGGAAAAGGGAATCCAAAAGAGACTGAGGTGCAAAAAACACATGGTCTTTTGGGCCAAGGGTTTAGTCATGCCAGTTTGAACACTAACGGATGAAGAGAGCTGGAGGGCAATGACGTGTGTGCGACAGACACAGCAGAACTGCTCCATCCAGCCGCGTACCATTTTCTAGCCCAGGTTTTCTGTCATGGGCAGATGGATGAATAGGCAAGGCTAAAGACGGTTCTTGGAAGATCTTGCAGGGCTCCCAAGCAAGCCCACTGGAAGGGCTCTGCCACAGCCTTTATAGACAGGGCTCCCCTATTCTTAGTATTGCCTGTCTCCCCCCCTCCCCCAAAGCAGCAGAAAGCTCTGCAGTTGGTTTAGATGAGCACAGGTCTGCTGCTTTTAGAGGGGCCACCCTCCTGAGTCATGGGCTACAGCAGCTTCAGTGAAATGCAACATCTGGAATTGTTTATAACTATGTTCCACCCAGAAAATATCTCCAGATGCTACAGGCACACACTCACCCCCCCCATCCCCACCCCATGTCCCAAAAGTGACGTCCTCCTTTGTACAGAGGCCATGAACCTAAACCCTCCCTCTCCCACCCCCACCCGCCTGCCTTAGGATTTCCTGAAAAACCACAACTTTCTCCAGACTGGGTCCTGCTGAAGACTTGCCACGTCAGAAGAGACAAAGCAGATTCTTTGAGGGAACAGCAGTTTTCCTCTCCTTGTAAAATGAGCTTTAAGAACACATCCCTTCTCAAAAGGAATGCTTCGAAGGGTAGGAGCAGGAGAATCCCCTCAAATGCCAGCCCCACCAGCCCAGTGTTCAGACTACCTGTCCAGGAGATTGCAAATGTGTACAGTAGTCTGCACATTGGTTAGGCTGGGCTTGGAAAATCATCGACTCAGGAGCCAGCAAAGTGGAGGCCAAGCCAACAGCACCTCCAGGTAAGTCCTTCAAGATTTGCATTTTCCTCCCTATATGCCATACACAAAGTACAGGCCTAATGAATGCTTGTTAGATTGAAATCGTCTAGCCAGTGTAGGCTGGAGATTAAAGGGAAAAGCTCAGGAGGAAAATGGTATTTGTGCAAGGGAAAGAGGGCCCCGAGGTGAGTTCAAGAGGAAAAAGCTCAACAGGCTGTGGGGCTCCCTCAGCAAATCTTCCCTTCAGCCCTGAGACAAAGAGCACATGCAGGGCGGTGTCATTTAAAATTTTTATTTTTAAATATTTGTATCTTTCTTTATTAAGGTATCAAAATAAATGTATCTCAACTGTCCTTTGTTCATTCTTTTCCTTCTTTCCAGAAAGGCTGCCATGTCTAGGAGACATATGTTAGGAGAAAGGCTCTGTATTAGCAGAGCAGACCTTCTGCTTTTTGAGAAACAATGTTTTATTTCCCTCTCCTCACCTCTAGGATTCCTGCTGGCTTTGTGTCTGTAGAACACAGAGCCTCATTCACAGTGCCTGCTGGTTCTCATTACTCAACAGCAAAGGGCCAGACAGTGCTCCCACTGAGAGCTCTGCCAACAGGAAACTGCTGGCGGGGGACAGGCAAGGTTTACGGGGTGTGCTGGGGAATGCTGTTCCCTAGCTCTCATCTTAGTACAATTGGAATGCCAAAGCTGGCAAGATCAGTTTGTCTCCCCTTTCCCGTTAGGAAAAATACCTCATTTCTAGGTTTACTAAGAGAAAGGGGAAAAGGAACTCAAAACGTATTACCTTTAATTCAAGACCAAACTACCATCTTCTGTACATTCCTATCCCACTCAACTGGCCAGTCCAAGTTTGCAAAGGGAATCCAATACTGCTGTTCATACTAGAGCCCATCCAAGCTCAATGAATTTGCTGATGTGTCTCTGTTCTCACCAAAATGGAAGTTTGGAAACCATCAGAATGTACTCACTCAAGAGCTGACGCACCACGAAGGAGACTAGCTTCTAGACTGTGGGGGTGGAAAGTTTAAAAAAAAAATGCAAAAGCATTTTCCAAGGCACTTGGAGGAGTGGTTCTGGGCCATACTGTCTCCCTGAGGAGTCTGCAGCTTAGAAGAGATGAAGGCAGCAGGAGGGTATTTGCCTAAATTCCTCCTCTGCATTTCCTGATCTAGGAGAGAATGCCCCTTTGCTACTGGTTTTGCTCTAAAACCAATTTAGAGGCGCTGCTGGGGAAACCTGGCAAGGGAGACTGAAAAGATCCATTTGAAGATCTCTAGGTCTGGCCAATCAGGAAGCTGCTCCCTCCCCATTTCCAGGCAGTTTTGGTCCTATATCCCACCTCCCTCAAACGCTTCTACTCTGCCTCACTACACACACACACACAGTCCACCATTCATGAGGCAAGTACATATAGCTGCATTTGAGCAGGAGCTGTTTCAGTCTGTGAAACAGATATATGGACATATACCATGAGGGTCTGCGGCTCTTCCCCCAACTTAGGATTCCCTTTAGGGAAGAAGTACACCAAAACACAACACTTTCCTGCTCATAAATGAACATCACACCTGATCTCGTGATCCCTGAAGATCAACAAAAGACAGAAACTGGAGGTGGGAGAGCTGAGGGGACTCCACGATCAAAGGAAGGTTGAAAGGGCTCCATCTCTCAGTGTAGACAGAGACCAAGATAAGTGTGGCCCACACCAGGAAGCCTCACAGGGAAACTGTGGGGAGCCAGTAGTCAAGGCTTTCTTTTTTTCAAATGAAGGATTGGGCTGGGCCAGGGCCCACAACTAATATACACATTTCCAAAGATCACTGCATAGAACTTTGCAAATCACCATTCTCATAAAATTTCTCTTTTGCAGAACTATGGGGAAACCAATAAGGACCACCTTACATTTTCAAGGATCCTGGCAGGCCTTGATCCTAAACAGCATTTGGGATCACAGTTAAAGACACCGAGGAACATGAAGACTGAATACCAGTCACAAGCAGAAATCTAAACTAGCTATGAGGATGGAATAGAGAAAGAGTGAAGGGCTTGGGGGCGCTCTAAGATGGTAGAAGTCACCATTTTGGCACAAGTGAGACAAGTGTGGGGGTGGGGAGACCTTACAGAGAGAATCAAGGTTATATCTGGACTTGTATTGCTACCAACCAAGCTGTACAGGGAAGTTTTAAGGACTGTTCCTAAGAATTCTGTAAATAGGGCCTGAGCAACTTTTCTGGGTGTCTTGACTTACTGATGAGAAAGGAAGTCTATCAGTTTCCTTATTTAAGAAATCTAAAGCTCTTTAGGATGACTTGGCTGTGATGTATGCTCCGATCTCATATTCTTTTACCTAATAAAGCTAAGATTATTGGATCAAACACTGGAAGTAATAGAGGTCATCCTAACCAGCCTCAAATTTTATAGGAGGAAACAGATTGAGAGAGGTTAATTAATTTGCCCAAAGTCACACAGAGAGAGTAAAGAGCAGAGCTGGGAATCCAATCCAGATGTACTAACTCCAAATTCAGGGCTTCCCAGTCATTCTTTCTCCCACGTTCTCCAGGCTTGGATCCAAGAAAAAGCAAACGTGAATTCTCTAGTATTCTTCTACCACAATCTGAAGTGCTCAGGGTCACAAGGATGGGAAGCCAATACTCAATTTAATGAAATAATCATTGATCTAGTCTAAGGCAGTACCTATGCTTGGTAGTAGGGATGAAAAAAAAATGGGCTTCGCCAGCAAGGAACTTGCCTTCCACTAAGAGGATGTAACATGTCCACAAAGTTTAAATTTGAATAAAAATATATTCCTGAGGCAGCTGCAGTAATACAGAGCACTGGGCCTGGAGCCATAACACCAATCCCTGGGGGGAAAAGAAATCATAGGCCCAAAGACACCCACAACTCTATAGTAATAACAAACATTTATGAGGACCTCTAATCTACTTTATGAATCCTTCCCAACCCCAGCCTCCTAAGCTTTCATTCCATACATGCTCACTGGGGAAAACACCTAAAGGTGCTAACACGATGGCTGGTGCCAGGGGGTATCTTGCAAAGCTTCCAGGTCACATATAGGCCAAATAATACAAATGGTCTTCACCAGGTTGGCTTCCTACTTGCCTGATGCATTTTGGTGCCTCTAACTACAACTAAGCTGTGATGCTTACTCTGTATAGCTTGAGCCCTTGTATCCTCAATGTCTCTATCATCCCTGACAATAGTCTGTGACCATAATTCCCATTGAAATTCATGATTTACCTGCTTCTCAAAAGGAACTGGATGGTCAATCATAGTTGGCCAGCCCATTCTGTTCCCTTTTAATCAGCTCACCAATCCACATCATGGTACTGTCTCTTGCCAGATTAGGCAGTCAGGTTTCCTGGATACTCACCTCCTCATCCTTGTACCACGACAAGGACTCCGCAGTGAGCACAAACCAATACTCCTTGGAACCACCTTTCATCAGGCTGATATTGTTGATGGTCAACCAGCCCTTTCGAATCACCTGGAGGAGAAAGCATGGATCAGTATGAAACCTGGGCCTTGATGAAGGGGTGTGACCTGGTCAACTGCCCTACCAGGATACACCAAGAAGTTAGAGAGGCCAAACCCAGACAGAGTAGACTTTTAAAATGATTGGCAAGCTCCCAGCAGAGTAGCAATCTAGCTCCTTCAGAGGCTGGGTCAAAACCTCAGACCCCTAGAGTCTCCTCAGAAACCCAAACCTTTCTTGCCCTAACCATGCTCCTAATCTAATCTAAAATGGGGGTGGACTCTCTAGGACTTTAGGATGTATGTCATTGCTCACTAAACCCAAACACTACCTATCAGGTAGGTATAAAGGAAGGCTAGTGAATCAGCCCGTGGCTTAACCTGTTCCAGGACAGCCAACAAGGGAAGAAATCCAATCCAGTCTGATTAATGGGCCATGCTGATGCTCCTCTGCATGGCCAGCCCTGGAGGAACCACTTGGTGAAGTACATAACACAAGGGAACTCTCTACTAGGAAATCCTGTCTTGAGGTTGTATAGGTCATTAAAGACAGAACAATGAGTTGGAAAGTTCTGAAAATGCTTAGTCCAACATTCATTGTTCCAGGACCACTAGCAAAACTCACTCAAAATCTAAGACAGATTACATGAAAACTACCAGCCACCAAGCTTTACTGCCAGGTATGTTTACAGTGATATAGTAGAGCAGCAGTTTCTGTTAGAAGAGTGACATGGGCCTCTCTGGCTCCCCTAGGGACTGGCAGCCCTCCCCAGCCCCCACCCTGACAATGTCACTGTGCCTGCTTGTGGCACTCACCTGGCAGCTGAGTCAGCCTCCTTGGAGGTACTAGGCTGTACCCCGTGGGAGGTAAGGAGGGAGGAGACAAGGAGAAAGGAGACATGCATGGGAGTCCAGGCCTGGGGGAAAGCCCCTTAACATTCCAAGCTGGGGACACAAGGGTGGGGCCAACATGAAGCAAACAGAGACTAGAACATGACTCGAATGGATTTGGAGGCAGTGACAGACTGAAGCTGAACTGCTAAGTATAGGTTGTCACCAGTAAGGACAGCAGGACGCAAGTAAGTGCTGACCTTGCCAAGGCACTTATGGGGCAGAGCTGCGGGTACTGAGAATCAGGGAAAACCGTAGAGATCCCTTTGGATTTCAGGCCCAGTATCAGGGACTTTCCACAGGGATCTTTCTCTTCTTAGCCAAAGAACCAGCTCCTAGGCCAAGCTCCATTTCACCATCTTGCCAAAATGCTTTCACCAAGACATCAACAAAGCAGTGGGCATGGTCTTATTCATTTCCCTTACACAAGGAGATACACTGACTGGCCTGGCCTTCCCATACCCCTCCAACCAACCAGCAGATAGAAGGAATCACTAGCCCGGCTATTGCAGAAAACTGAGACACACTCTCTCTGTATCAAGGGGTCAATCAACATAACATACAGCCAACCGCTTTGGTGACTTCCCTAGGATCCTAGTCTAGGATTTAGGTCCTGGCAAACAGAGGACACCAATGTAGAGAAAGCCAAGGGGAAACAAAGCTCTGATAGCCATGCCAGAAGGAGCCTTAAAGAAGCCAAGACTCCCAAACAGGAGCTAGAATCCTTGTCTCTGTTGGGAATCCAGGGGTAAGTGAATCTAACAGACAGCACCCAGACCTCCCCCTGCTGGTGGCAAGACCGATTCAGAGGCATGAACTACTTTAGGACAAAATCATCTGATGCCTTTGCTAGCATTTCATTACAAGCAGCACAGAAGCTGTGTGGCTGAATTCTTTCTTGTTAGCCCTACTGGTCCTTGAATAAGGTCAGTGCTTTGGCTGCCCACTCCTATGGCATGAGGTCAGACTTCACAGGTCCCATAGGAGTAGGTACTAACTTCCTCCTTTCCCAGGCAGGAGATAATCAATACACTGACATGATTTCCTACAAAAGCCTAGGAGAAGCAGGGCCAGATCAGGTTCAGAAAGAAGTTGCTTACAGCAAGGGATCCTAGGCCAGAGAGGGTGAACCTCTGAATTATATTCCCTTCATTCCCTGGAGGTGAGCGGAAGGCAGGCAAACAAGGAGGAAGCACACTAGTCTTTGGTCAGACATCATTCCCGGCCAGGAGTTCCGCAGTGTGTGGCCCAGTCAGAAACCTGTATCTATAAGGCATCAATGGCATCTATCTCTACTCCCCTCCCAGTGGTCACAGACAGCTTACTCTTCCTGATTTCTGTATATACCATTTATGTGGATGAATAATTTGGAAACTTTCAAATGGGCAGTTATGCCCCCCCCATCAGAAATTCCAACACATTTATGGACTCATTTACCTGGGCTCCCGAAACATAAACAAGAATTGAGAAGAGCACCCACAGTCACCCTACATAAGTGCCCTGTGGCCACTACTCTTGAGACACAGGTTAGTAACACACACGAGTCCACAGGACAGCAACTGGCACATTTCTCAATATCCAGGCTGGGACGGACTCAAGGTCTTCCAGAAGGTGGGTAATAGTCCTGGTGAGAAATGTGGATGCCTGGGAGCTAAGGATACATGAGAAATGCTGGATCTGCCCCTGGTAAAATCAGATAGGCCCAGGGCTCAGAAGACTTTGATACTCTGCTCTGGTAAAAACAACCAAATATTGCAGCCCTGGTCATTCAACCCCAAATCTAAATATCTAGGTGACAGGCTGGAACACCATGTTTTTGCTCACACAGCAAGTCCACAGGACTTGAGGATGCCGATCAGGATCATAGCCAGACGTATCCCCTCTTACCAATCATAGACCAGAGCTTCCCATCCCACCCAGGAATTTTCAAGCCATCCAGGCAGCTGCCCATGTAGCAGATAACACTGAGTTAGAGATAAAAATCACTTGGCTGTGCAAACTATGGGTGACTGCAGGCTGTTACATTTAGAAGATCTTAACTCTTATAGTGCATCTGCTGGAGAGAAGCAAGGAGCCCTGACCAATCAGATGGCAAAAGGCCAATCAAGAACTGAGTACTAATTTTCTTTGAGGTTGGATATACAATTTGAGGGCATATAGTGGCTCTTTAGTCCAGTTCATTTCAAAGCCAAATTTATATATGAAAATTCTGTAGATAATTCGACCTCGACAAGGGGAAGCAGGAAGCTGGAGATAGGACAGGAATAGCAGCAAAACCAGAATGCAGCCAGACAAGTGTCCCAGGGTCTAGATACAGAGGAGACAGGCATGACAGGATCCTCTGGAAGGTTGTAGCTTACTCAACCAATGACCAAAAGCTGAAATAGTCTGTTGTGCAGCTAGGGGACTGAGGAGAGTTGCCATCGGTCCATTTGGCTAATGTGGGGCCCCCAAAGCCACGTCATGAGGGACAGAATGGCAACGTGATATTTATCAAGGGAATGAGACATGGCAGAGAACCAGAAAATTTTGATGTGCCAATGCCTTACCTGCAAAAAGATGCCTTCAGGGGAGAGCTGGTCAGCTGGTAGGGACAGGGGAATCAAAGAAGGGGGCCTAAATCTTGGAACACTCTTCCTGAATGCTGATTTTGTCTTCCTGGCCTGGAGTAGCCCAGCTCATACCAATCTTAGTACAACTGTCAGGGCTCAGCAGCTTCCCATCATCGCAAAGCAGCACTTCCACATCCTTAGCCTCCCAAGCAGTGATGGAGACCTTGCTCAAACAAAGCCAAAATACTCTGGGAAACAGATGAGAAGTATTTCCTTCTTCCCCAAAGAAACAGGGTTTTGGGGAGTGGAAGGAAGCCTATTTAAACTGACAGGAAAATGGAAATTACTTAAAATATCTGTAGTATAAGGGAAACTAGGAAAATTATTAATTTTTGCAAGACAATTAGGGTTAAGTGACTTGCCCAGAGTCACACAGTAGTAAGTGTCAGGGGCCAGATATGAACACAAGTCCTTCTGACTCTAGGGCTGGTGTTCTATCCACTGTGCCACCTAGCTGTCCCTGGAATCGGTGCTTAAAAGGGGGAAAAAGTTGTTTCAGCAGTGTCCTGACTTCTCGATGCTTGAGGAGAGACAGGGCAGGAGGGGACAAGGGACTGGTGGTGTAAAGCAGGCAAACCAGAACCGGAATCCTTTAAGGAGAGCGGTTTTTCCTGGCTTGCCCCACCTTCTAGGATTATACTTTAGCTGTTTCCATTTTCTTGCTCAGTCAAAGAAGACTTCTCGCCCTTGTTTCTGCACACTTGTTAGCCTCCCCACTGGGAAGATGTAACGCTGTTTCCAGAGCTCACCCCATCCGTTATTAAGAGAGAAATTGGTACCTTGGGTTTTCAGAACTGAGTACACTTAGCAGAAAGGTCGGAGGGGCCCTGGCCAAAGAACCCAGCAGGTCACAATTACATTGTTGTCCTATCTAAGGGGAAGGGAAAATTGAAGATGTAGGAGCACACGAGTTACAGCAAGATGAAACAAATAGTACTATGGATATGAGTGATAGGAAATCTCCTCAGAAACTTGATTCTGTTTCAGTTATATTCTCCACTGCTTTCTCCTCCTTATATGAACACAAAAGAGGAGAGGGGCCAGGAAGCTGGCAGGGCAGTAAGAAGAAAAGCTCATCTTCCAGGCTTTGGGAAGGACTCCAAGAATGGGTCTAGAAGGCTGCTTGGAGGCAATGACCATCTAACTAAGATGAATCCTGCCAGGGAGTTGGCTTTTCTAAAGAATCTGGAAGACACTGTCCCAAACGAAGCCAAGAAGCTATGCCCACCGCACTATTGGGATAAGGAAGGCAGGCATGGACATCAAATACGGCCTTGCATTTTTACAGCCCTTGATAGGATTTCCAGACTCACTTGAGTCACTTTCTTTCTTCTACAAAGACTATAAGCACCTTAAGGACAGAGCCAAGGCCGACACAACTTTGCATGCCCCATGCTATCACAGGGCTCCATAAATCTGTTGGACGAACCTGTACCTGGCCTGGGAAAGGACAGGCTCTTACCTTTAATGTACTAAGTGTACTCAGCCCCAAGTCAATGAAAACCCAGTTTCTTCAGAGTAGGTCTCCATCACCAGATCTGTCTAAAGTTTACTAACACACTATGTAGGTACTTACCAGGATCTCACCCTTTAGGATCACAAAGTTAGGGTTGTAGGGTAAATAAAGGAAAAGCAGAAAGAGGAAAGCAAGGTAATAGAGAAAGGGCAGGAAGCACAAACAAATGGTAGAAAAGGAAGAGCAGAAAAACAGCAAAAGAAAAAAAAATTACATGCTATTAATTATATTCACAGTGTTAATGTTTAATTCATTATAATCTTTCAAACAAAAAAGCAATAACATATGTATTACCTAAAGCAAGCATAAAATTCATGCAAAGGTTACATTTTCCAATCCGGGGCTTCAGTCATGCAAGCTAAATAAAGAGTAGTCCCCTTGGCCTCTCCCATGAGAGATGGAACCTCTGCAAAGACTATGTGAAGGCAGGGTTTTTCCCTAAAAACCATCAGGACTCTCGGTCTAATTTCCCCGGGGAATGTTTTCTTTTCATTTCCCAAAGGCTGGGCTGGAACACTAGTACAGCATTGCTTTCTCTGTTCTCAGGACAGTTGATAGATCTCACAGAGAATGTGCCTTCCAAGGCAAAGAGAAAGCAGCTGTGGTAAGACAGCCCTGTAGTGACTACTGTCAGATTTAGACTCAGCCACTTGAAAATGTTTTGAATAATGTCAAAACACATGTACAGCTTAGGATCAAAGGGGTGGAGAATCATAATTAGACAGCAGCACTGTGAAACAGTGAGAGTTTGAGGTGCACCTCCCCCTTGGCATGTAAGGCAGCTTTCCCCACTCTCCTCCCACCCCGGAAATAAATCCCAAGGAAACATAGGCATGCACACGTACCTGGTTTGGAACGGCCCTTTTCTTGTTCAGCTGAGTGCTTCTCTGTTGGGCACTGAAACCAAAGCACAACACAAGGCTTATGCAGCTGGGCAGTGAGGGAGGAGGCCAGTGACCAGCTCCACAGAGAGAAGGTAAATCAACGTTGGCTGAATGGAAATGGGCCGAAAAGAGAAGAAAGTTATCACACCTGGAGACACGAGCATGAAGCTTTCCTTCAAGGAGAGCCACAGAGGGCTACAAACAAATGCATTGTATATAAAAACAGGAAAGCAGTTCTTGTACTCTGAAGGCTGTGGCTGAGCTAAATGAATATAAAAACGCCCAAACCAAGGGATTCTTAACCTAGCACGACATTATAAAAGTATACATTTTAAGAACTGTATTTCAATGTAATTGGTTTTCCTTGCAATGCTATGTATTTTATTTGTTTAGAAACGTGATTTTGAGAAGAGATTCCAAGGCTTCTTTCTCAAATGGCCTGTCAAAGGGTGCCAGGACACACAAAAGGTGAGGAAGCCTGCTTTAACTCCACTCCTAGACAAAGCCATTACTCCCCGAGGGGCTCAGAAAAAACTCGTGTAGGTCCGATTCTGTCTCATTGGCAGCATGGGCAAACCAGCCTACAGTTTCATTCTCAGGCAAAGCATCTCTTCAGATGCCCTCCTCTCAATCACTTGAGTGGCCAAGGCCAGAGCCTGAGCAGCATGAGCCCTGGGGCTGTCCCTTCTAAGGTGAGGATGGGACACCTTGACGTGAAATTTCAGATGCCAGACCAGGATGGTGACAACAGTGATTATTACCAATAAAAGCTCCATTTACCTGAGACAGGAGAGTAATAGCTATTTCAAGGTAAATGAAGGAAAGCCACCAACTTTGCTTTCAGACTCAAAGAGGGAGGGGAGGAGAGTTCAACATAGGGCTCTGTTTGAATGTTTGAATGCCTGTCTCTATGTAGGGGCTGGCTGTTTCAAATGGCAAATTCTTAGAGGGCAGGGACTATGTCAATGTAACCACAACGGGCAGTACTAACACATCACAATACTCGAGGGAGTTTGATAAACGAAAAAGCCTTGGATTAGAGAGTGCAAACCCAAAGCAGAGCGCTGACAATCAGGCTTCACAACAGCAGGGCCAGGGGAACATTTTTTACTATTTCTTCTGTCTGAAAATCAGAGTGAGGATTGGACTAGTTCCCCTAAGCAAGTCCTACCGCTCTGGGACTTACCACCATCTTTGTCAAAAACAGATCTAGCCCAGGGCCCCTCTAACACACTACTGAAACAGCATACATAGCAGGCAGATACCCACCCTGTCACAAGCTGCTCAGTATAGTAACAGCTGGGGTTATTGGGAGGAAGGCCAAGGAGTCCAGAGGAAAGAATGAAGTGATCAAAGGAAAAACAGGAGAGATGGTGAGAAGGAGGAACTGTGAATGAAGTGTGAAAAGCAGAAACAATGTGAGGAAAAGAGCAGCACTTAAGAGGGGAAAGAGACCCAGGGCTTTCAACTCCACAACATGGACACCAAGACAGACTCAGGGAGGCTCCACAGGGCTTTGCTAATCCAAAGTGAGAGCACTGAGTTCACTCTCATTCTAAATGAGAGGGCACAGCCATGGCCCAAGGCAGGGGAAGATCTGGAGAAACCATTGCCCTCTTCTCCTTACCACCTACTGAGGAGACTCTTGGGCAGACCACAAAGACTTTTCCTAAGACCATCTCCTTCTGATGTTTGAGAAAAGACCAGGCTGTGCAGAGGAAACTGACTGCTCCTTAGCAGTAAGGCAACCTCACAGCCAACCCAAAGCTGCGTTCTCTTAAATTAAAAGGAACCAAACTTTCTTAGGAAACTAAGCACGGGCTGCTTGGGCCCACTTAGTAGGGGAGGGGCTGGTGAGGCCCCAGTGACCTGCGAGAAGATCTGGTCTCAATTTCTTTTGATTCCTTGCACATGACAGTCACCACTATCAATCTGGGTCTTACAATACACATATGGCTAAGGAAATTTTTCCTGTGCTAAGAAGGAATGCTGATGTCACTTCAATTAGGGTAAATGGGAGAGAAGGGATGAATTTTAAAGTATTATCATTCATTGCTACATTTAGCTGAAACATTATGTCACTGTCTTAATCCACAGTCACTAGAGAAACTTGCTTGATTTTTGAAAACATCCTACTTAAAGCAAGATAAGCAGAGAAACCTCATTTGCTCAGAACATGTCTTCTTCCAGAAATTATCCTCACCCCACCCGCTGTTTTGAGCCAGCATCACCTGGAGCCTTGATGCCCTCTAGGAGAGCCAGCTCTAAGACCGAAGCCCTATCTGATGGCAGAGCTCCCAATCCAAGAAGCTGCAGGTAGAACATACATACTTTGCAAAGCCAATGAAGTCCTCGTGATTTGTGTTGATGTATGACAGCTCAATGTCGATCAGAAGAAGGATCTGAAAAGATAAGAGTATGTTTGCTACTAATTAAAAAAAAAAAGCCCTACTTGGTCTACACACCAAAGGTCCAAACAACACATTTACAACACTTGAGCACACTCCCCAAGTCGACCAGTAGAGGGGGATCTATAACTATTTTCCAACTCGGGCAAAAGGCCAGCAAGGCAGCCTTCATCTGCCTGGTACCTCCAGGCTCTCAGCGCATCCCTCTCTTTCGATAATGGGCACCCAAGAGTTGGATACTGGTCTTGCAAATTAGAAGTTCATGTACAGAATCAATCACATGAAGTCCAGCCATTAAGGTAGCCCAGTCCTTAAGTTAGGAGGACCCAATAAGTGTTTGCAGAATGAACACATTGTCAGAGACCCTTCAAACACACCTGGTCCTTTGTTCTCCCTTCTCGCTCCCTGATGTAAGTGGTGACAATTCTTTCTGTTTCTTCTCGTAACCTGGGATAGGAGCCAAGCTGTGGGGGGAGGAAAGGGGCATGTCAGATGGCTCTACATAGCACAAAACCCACAACAATTTACATGAAGAAAGCAGAAAACCAGGGAGAGCCAAGAAGACATGAAAGGACTGCATTGATCCCCAATTTTGTCACCACAAACACTCATTAAAGAGACAAATATGGGCAGCTTGAGTTGGCAAGAGAATTAAAGAGATTAAAAAAATATTTTTTAAAGAGAATCAAAGATGAGAAGATTTCATTCAAAGCAGGTGAAGTGTGTTTACCAGTCAAATGTCACTGATGTCCCCTCTCCCACCTCCACCCCCATGGCTGGATTACAGCATGAACTAATATATTAAGCAGCAATAAGGCCAATGAGATAACCAGCCTTCTCTATGCCCTGAAGCTCTGGGGCCAAAGCCATTTCATGGGCATTTTGGTTTCCTGGGCAGTGGTTCAAGATAGCACCTATGTCATATGTCTCAGCAGGACCTCCAAATTTATTTTTGGGAACTGTCCACAGATGACAGGTTAACAGTTGTGGAAGGGCCAGAAATAATGCCACCAAACTTGTTTCATTTTTGGAAAGGACATGAATTAAGCCCAAGGCATTAAGTTAGGCAGGTCCTGTGGAGCCAGTATTTTCCAGATGCTCAGGTTAGACTAACAGATGGAAAAAAAATTTAGCCCATTACCTTCTCAGCACACTTTTTAATGACGGTGGCCAGCTCTGAGACCACCAGATCAACACACTTCAAACTCGGCTCTTTGAGCTTTACAATCTGTTTTTTCACAATGGCTTCAAAGGCCATGTCGGGGGTGAAGAGACCCGTCCTGCGTCATGCAGAGCACGAGAGGGAGGCAGAAAGACGAGACCCCAAAAGGCATTGCAGACCAAACACACACAGTAACAAAAAGACAGAGAGAGGGAAGAAAAGGAGAGAGGCAACCAGTTAGTAAGAGGCATAGTAAAAGCCTCGGCATTTGCCCTGGGAAGCTGCTTCGGAAGGAGAGCCATTTCAAGGGGCTTTTGGCTGGACTTGTCAATAGTGCAAGGTTATGGCTTTAGTCACCTTACACCCAATGCATTTGGTGTCCTGAATTTTCAAATACACGTTGCAGCCTCTGGAAATCTACTTCCAACCCTTCCGGGTTTGACTGAAGAAGCTTGGAAAGCAAATGCAGGCTTTAAAAAATGACACAGATCAGGAACTGCAGCATAAGCAAAAATCTCCTGACTCTTAAAGGCAGCCCCAGGACTCCTATCCACACACACACACACACACACACACACACACACACACACACACACACACACACGCACGCACGCACGCGCCCACACACATGCACACGCACGCAACCCTGGGAAAGCATTTACAAGGCTCAGCTGAAGCAGGTCACTCTGGGAAGCAGGCACTGTCAGGGTGGGGGAGCTAGGCATTTCCTGCCAAGTGTAGGAACTGACTGTGCCAATCACACTGACTGTTGGGGATATACTTCAACTTCCCCCTGTTTAGGGGAGCCAAGTTCCTCTGCAGAGCACTGCCTCTGCCTGAGGGGGAGAACAGCAGGAGGCACGCTGCAGACGGGGGATCACCAGCTGCCCTGGGTGTGATGTGGCGATGCCAGGTCTAACAGGCCAGTTATCCGCCATTCTGTCGCTCTTGGGGCTTCTCAGTATCCTGCAATGTGCAGCAAAGGAAGTACACTGGCTCTGCGGCAATGGGTTCATGCAAAACATCGGCCCATGGGCTTTTTTTTTAAAAAAAACCATGATGAATGGAGGCCTGGGGGTCCCAGACTCAAGAAGGGGCACATTTTAATTTTCTGCTTCCCAGGGTGTAGCAAAGCAGCATTTTAAATCGGTCAAGACACATGCTGTGTAGGGCATCAGGATCCCAGAGTAAGCTGCCCACTCGGCTGGCCAACTCCCAAGGCCTGCTGGACATTCTTCCCATTCTACCTCCTGCTTCCCTAACTCACTCAAGAGTCTCTAGAAAGACACTGTGACCTCACTCAAGAGTGATGGGAAGATGCAAACTATTTCAATACAGTCTTACATTCCGTAGTCCAGAGTCCCTTACGTGATCTCTGGTTAGGAAGAAAACATCCTTTTGGAAGTAAAAGTCATCTGGGGAGAATGACCAGCCAGAGCAGGCAGGGCACTGCAATCCTGATACCACCCATCCTCCCATAGCTCCCTTTTCCACAGCCCTCAGAGAGGGCTCAATACCTTACTGGTACACTGCCTAACTGTATTGATTAACTCCTGAATAACCAGGTCGACACATTTCAGACAAGGCTCTTTCAGCTTCACCACCTGCTTTTTCACAATGGCCTCGAATGCCAAGTCTGGGGTGAAAAGCCCCGTCCTACGCACGTCCAACCACAAGAGCAAGGGTGAGGGAAATAATCAAAGAAAAACAAAAAAACAATCAACAATATTAACGGCAACTATTTGGTTAACTGAAGAAATAGCAATAATCCCACATCTGAGTCACAGGCCCACTCCCATCAATTCAGAATTTCCGGGGTCAACAATGCTCACTTTTGCAACAGAAGTCTACTCTTGCTTGGCAACATTGGGTGTGACCAACATGAAATTCATCTCTCTCTTGTGATGGTTTGCTTTGCATCTGGGCCCCTTCTTACCCCTTAAGACAATCCATCCCCTCATATTCTTTTTAAAGGCCCTTTTCAGGGCAGGCAGCTGACACACAGCCTCATTTTACATCATGACCATAACAAAACTGCGGTGGGAGGTAGGGGTGGCATCTGTGGTCACAACTACAAATAGCGTAGTAATTTATGTCATGTCCTACTTACAGGCCCCAAATTAGACAGATGTAAATTTTTGCCCTCAAGCGTCTAAAATATTGAAGGGCAACTGACTTGTCCTGGGAGACACTAGGGAAGAACACACTAAACTGATTAGTTCTTTTCACCCCACCATCCAAGGCACTGGGCTCTGTCCCTGAGACAGTCATTCCCTGGCCAACATGGTCTCCTCCCAATTTAGATATTGGAGGCCAGGAGCACAGGCATTCCAGAGGCCTGGCTGAGACAATAACATGTTGACAGAAGGAAGTTAACCCTCCTCCCCCATCCCTAATACTTGCCTGACTCCATGGATGTTTTTAATTGCATAGCTAATTTCTCGTCTCAAGTCTTTCTCATCAAATTCCATCTAAAAAAAAATGAAATATGTAGAGGTAGGTATCTATAAAGTCACAGTAGTTCAACAAAGTAAGGAAGTGAGTTACAATTGAGTATCTCCCTGATAACACATATCTTTAAAAGAAAGCCTCAAGTTGGTAGTTGGCTATCTGAATCCTATCAGCTCTGAAGAAGGACCATCTATGCAATGCCTGCTTCAACCACCAAGCTAGATTATTTGATTCCCTTCAAAAGCAAGCAGAGTCAATGTATGAGTCTATTTATGAGTATGAAGGCAGGCCTCGCCGTCTTTATCAGTTCAAAAAGCATTTAGTAAGTTAAGTGCCTGTCCTCCACAGACCCTTGGAAGGGAAGGCTAACTATCATTTGGTAGAAAATGAGGAGAAGTATATAATATGTCACCTTCACAAGCTCAAACGGAAACCTCTCGTGAAAGATGCGGTTAATCCTTGCACCACCAGAAAGTTCCAATGTGTCCACCTGGTCTCCTGAGCCTTCGATTCTCTTTTCAAAGTCCACACCAAACTGCTGGACCATCCTAAAATAGCAAGTTCAAAGAAGGTGTTTCAATATCTTCACATTGGTTCTTTGACCACAGATTAGCAAATAAGTGGCCTAAGATTAAGGCAAACTTTTCCCTCAATAAAGCAATTGATGATATACACAATTTTTCTTTCAAGAAAAACACAAAAGCTAATATTAATCCAGCATTCTCAACAGAGCTTTCAAAACAATCTTAACTTAGAGGAAATATGAATCTAAATATACAGAAAACAAAAGAAACAAGGAATGACATCACTGAAAAGCTTATCCCTATAATATAATTATGCTTAGAAACCAAATGGAAAATGGAGGTGATTCAAACAATAGGAATAGTCAACATGCACAAGACCAGTTCTCCCAGGTCTACCAGAAAGACTAAAGCTTAACTGGCACCTCCCATCAATCACAAAGCCCGGACCCATTTTCCACTGTCTGTAATAGCATTATCAAGATAAAAAGGCATTTCCTTGGCACTAACAATTAGGAAAGATTCAGTTGTGAGTCCATCAACTTGTTGAAGCTAATTCCAAGTGTACAGGAAAACCTGAGGGCCTGACCAACAGGTTCCCATTTCACTCTTCCCTAAAGGCACAAAAATCTAGTCACCAAATGATAGCTAACCACACAATCTCAGCTACCCTCAGCACCATTCCAAAACTCTCCAAACTAGGAAAGGAGAGGCAGCCATTACACCAATTGGGATTTAGAGGCCTCCTACGTGAAATGCTCCTTTTAAATGCCCAGAGCAATTCAGTGTCACCCCCCCAAAGGTTCCTCTCTCTGGCCAAAAACTTAGGTCAACCTCCTGTAGGGGCCGCTTAATATGTGTATGCCCCAAGGCAGGAGGCCAGAGTTTTCACTCTGTGCTCCATACCCTTCTCCAGGCTCAAGAAGCCAGTGGCTAGCCTCATACCTAAACAGACGGAAAGCAAGTTATTTGTTGTCGTTGTTGTGGTTTCAGTGATGTCTGATTCTCTGTGACCCCATTTGGGGTTTTCCTGGCAAACAAAATGGAACGATTTGCCATTTCCTTCTTCAGCTCAATTTCACAGATGAGGAGACAGAGACAAACAGTGTTAAGTGACTTGCCCAGGGTGACATAGCTAGTTAGGGTCTGAGGCCAAGTCTGAACATGAAGATGAGTGTTACTGACTCCAGGCCTGGCACTCTATCTACTGTGTCACCTAGCTGCCCAAGTTATCTTTAGTCAGGGAAAAAGGGAAGAAAGCTCCCTAGACAAAGAGAAGGGCTCAACCCTGAGACACCAGGCCATGCACAGGCCAGAGAGCAAACGCACTTACTGCAGCAGGGCTTTGGTTTTCCGGGTGGGATCATCAGGCCGGAAGTTCTTGTATTCTTCTACCTCCTTCTCCAAGGATAGCAGCTGGCTCTGGAGCTTGCTTCGCAGTGCAGGCAGAGACTCTCGGATGTGATTGGTCAGTTGCTACAATGAAAGGGTCAGAGGTAAGACCAGCATCAGACACCAACAGGATTAGAGGCTCTTACTAAAGGTTACAAAGACTGCACATTGCTTCGAATTCCTATTCTACGCAAGCTAGTTAGAGAGCCAAGCCAGTGCACATTCCAATGAAGGAAGAGCAAAGAGACGTGCTACTTTGGATGGTAACAAGAACTATTTAAACCCATGAGACTCAGTAGGGTTCTGGGATTTCCAATGTCCCAGGGCTCCCAAACTCTTGGCCAGCTCTTGCTGCAGCAACTCAGGGGACAGGTACTTCTTGGGCCTAACAACCCTTCTAGGACTTCATGGTAATCAAAAAGTCTTCTGAATTCACGCAGTCTTGCTAACTCTTCCTGAAACCTTTTATACCCCTCTCCCCCTGTTCCCCATAGAGCAATGTTCTGTTCTTCATTTCCTGGGTTGGAAGCCACTTTCATTCAATCTCTGCTCCATTCTTCTCCTGTCTTCTCTGAAAAACAGGACTGTTTCTGTTCTAATTCTAGCCTGTACCAGTCCTGAAACCTGTTGCTCTCTCCATAGCCCACAACATGACCACTTGCAGGTACAAGTGCATATCCACCTATATATACATATACACAAACAGGAGGAACTCAAGGTTTCCAAAGCTATGAACCAGCAATATCCTTGACTCTCCAAACACTAGTAGACTGAAATGCTAGGGATCACAGAACACCAACACTAACAAAAGCTCAACTCTAAGGGAGAAGAAGTCAACACTCCCTCTAACAAGCCTTCTGGAAGTCCTACCCTACACTTCACAGGGGTGGGGGGAAAAAAACCCAAAACTCTTTAAGTGTTATCTTATACCTGGTTCAGGGTCTTCTGTAAGTGGGGGGTGCCCATTCGGTCTGCTATGTGTCGATATGCTGGATGAGAGAGGAAAAACTTCCTCTCAGCCCCAAGGGCTGCACGGATATCCTTCTTCCCATCAATGTCCTTTTGGCTCCGATTTACTACACCAATATAACCTGCAAGGAGACCACCTACTTGAGCCCGTGGCACTTTTTAACTGACAAAGTAATTCAGAAGAGACTCGAACCTTCTATTCTGAGGCTAAGAAGGTGCTACTTGAAGTTAGGGGAAGTCTCTACAGAAGGATGCTAACTAAATCCCACTTACTGTATATGACTCAACTTCTGAGCTTTTTGGAGGAATCTTTTTTCTTAAAAAGGCAATTGGGGTTAAGTGACTTGCCCAGAGTCACACAGCTAGTGAGCATTATGTGTCTGAGGCTGGATTTGAACTCAGGTTCTCCTGACTCCAGGGCCAGTGCTCTATCCACTGTGCCACTTAGCTGCCTCCTGGAGGAATCATTAAAAAAATAATCTTAAGGGTCTGAATCACATAACTTTGACTATATGACTATAACTTTAGAACTTAGAAGTAAGTCATCAAGTCTCATCTAACAGATGTGGAAATTAGAGCCCAGAAGAGGGCAATGACTTGTTTAAGGCCACCCAACAAGTAAATGGAAAATCTAGGACCCAGATTTCAGATCTGCTTTATTCACTCAAAACCCCTCATTATTTTCTATATGTAAAACATTGTGCTAGACCTGGAAAAGATATAAAAGACAATAAAAACATGAGTTACGACTTCCCTCTTGGGGACTTAGAATGTAGCTCAGTGCTCTTTCCACAACACCATGCTATCTCCATTTATCTGGCACATTTTCTCTCCATCTGGGCTCTCAAACACACTAAGGAAGCTGCTCATCAGTAGATCTACCAAAGGACTTGGATTACAGTTATACCTCTTCTCAATGGGAGCAACTTGTTCTCAAGTACATCTCTGGCATCTGTGCCTTCATCCATTAGGTCAAGCTTGGTTATAACACCAATTGTCCGTAAGCCTGAAAAAGTCATAAGGTAGACACATAAAGGAACATCCTAAGGGAATCAGGAAGATTCTCCACTGGGACACTATGGAGAAACTTGCAGAATGCCTACCCTAGCTAGCAAGGATCTGACAAGCAGGGACATAACTTGTCATGATTCCAAGGCTACCAACACAGCCTTAACCTAAAATACTCTCTAGGAGATACATCACTGTTACCAGAGTCAACTCTTGCCTGGCTGAGCTCAATTATTCATGACTATGCATTAGTCAAAATCCCATCTCTTTCTACCTCCCTGAGCCTTGGTGTTAATCTCATACTGAAACAAGGAAATCCTCTAGTAACAAAGTATCTCCCCTGCTAATTACCCACTGTAGCCAGTCATCTGGGGACAGCCATTAAGTTAATGAAGAACAGATGCTGAGAGATTCACCAAGGCACTGGTACAAAAATAGCAGTTAAGCGCTGAGTGTGCTTCAAGTTACAGTAGAGGCTTATTCCTGGAGAAGGTCTTTGTATCAATTATCAATAATCGGCTTAATACCCCTATCTCAAGTCTTTTTCTAGAAGCACAGGCTGGCCCAATGATCCTTCCCTTAGCTATTTCAGTTAATGACAGGAAATCCAGGGATTTGGAACCAATTTCATCCTATAAGAGAATATCTTTGAATTGCTTAGCACTATGCCTTGTTCCTTTCCCCTTTCCCTTCTAAGTTCACAGCTACTTCTGGCTCGTACCTGGGGGTTCCAGGACTTACCCTGAGGATCAACTTCCTTAGCCATCTTCAGGGCATCTGAATTTGCTAGATCCATGTTGGCTGGCGTGACTGCAAGAATCAAGCTGCTTTCTTTGCTAATGAACTGCAAGATCATGTCCCTGATCTGGTACTCAATATCCATAGGCTGATCACCAACAGGTACCTTAGTGATGCCCGGAAGGTCAATTAAGGTTAAATTCAACACTAGAAGGAAACACCAAAGTTAAAGTAAAGTCAGCCTCAAAGCCTGGAAGAGACATAAAATCGACAGCTCATCAACGATTCACCTGGTGACCTGTCTGCTGATATCTGTACACTGCTCACAGTTCCTGGAACAAGGCTTACACCAGAAAATGTTCCAAGGAGAGGTTCCCTGCCCTCCGGATCTTACCAACTATCCATTTACACTCTCATTGGCTAATCAATTAATCTGATTTAAAAATGCTTATTGTGTCACATGTCCCAAAAGAATAAAGGCAGCTGAAGAGAGAAGCTAAAGGGCATCGCTATCTGGTCTTGATGTTCAAGAGTTATCACCCTGAAAATATTAGTATAATTTGAAGAAAAGGTCAAAATGTCAACTTGCAATATTCACAGTGAACAAATAATTACGTCACATGCTGCTTACCATGTGGTGAATAGACTCGCAAGTTAATGGGGATAGGAGAAATGCCTTTATTGGTCCCCGTGACCCTGTCGGTCTCTGCTTCAATCTCTTGGCGAACTTCATCAAAGTCCGTAAACTTCTTGGACTTACAGTGCAAAAATTCTGCATATTCTGGAAGAGGAAATGAGTGTCACTAAGTTAGCAACAGCAGCAATATCTGTTTCTGATCCATTTCTCTGGGCTAAAGACCAGAGAACCAACATCCCAACCCCCAAGCTAACTTCAGTTTATCACCAGCAGTGATGGTCAAGGAGGCATGGGAAGGAGAAAAAATGATTTTGTGCAAGAGGCCAACCTCATAATCAAAGAATCAAACCCACTGGCCTGTGAACATTTATAATGGCAGACAAAGACAAGGCCAGACACCAGTCAGTGCTTGGTCATAAAGTGCTCCTGAATTATTTCATTTGGCCCCTATAGCAATCCTAGGAGGTAAGAAAGGTGGGTACCATCTTCCCCTTATAGATAAGGAAATTCAGGTGCAGAGATAACTTGATTACTCACAGTCACACAGCAGTTAACTCTGCCTCATTAACTACCTGTTCTCTACAAGGTCAGGCATATAAAGATACTCTGCTTGGGTTGCTGTCTCTTGTGAGGGATAGTGTACTAGCCCCCTTTGCCTTCAAGTAACACTACAGGCAGTGTGAGGCAGTGAAAACGGCACTGATTTTTACGAAAAGGAGGGCATGGTTTCCAATTTTTACTCTGCTACTTCCCCTGAGCCGACATGTATCCTTTCCTCTCTGAGCCTCAGTTTCCTCACATGTAAAATAAGGGTATTTAATCAGATGGTATGTAAAAACCCTTGGAGCTTTTAATCTTCTAGGTCTCCTGATCTTCTGGGACAGAACTCTCCAGTTCCCTGGAAAAAACTCAAGCACAACTTAGCAACAACATGCATATGTACACATGCTACATTCCAGCCCAACAAAATCACTAACTGTTCCCTAATCTCTTCTAGTGCTTCCTTGCCTCTATATCTTGATGTAGAATGATGTTACCTATTCCTGAAACGTCCCCTGCCTGTAGAAATCTTTACTTTCCTTCAGGGCTCAGTTCAGATGCTATTTTGCATTCTCCCAAGTAGGTCACTAAGTCATCACTTTTTCTTAGATCATTTTGTAAGGAATTCTCCTTTGTCCCCTACTGCACTCGACTTAATATTTCACTTAGTTGTATACATGCCACATCCCTTGATACACTAGACTCTAAGCTCCCTGATGGCAAGAACATTATTTTTTTCACATTTGTACAGCAAGCACAGTGTCTTACATACAATGGTTACGTAGCAACTTTATTGAATTTGAATAAATTCGTATTGGGAAGAAAATTAACTACAAAGAAGATAAGCCTTTTACACATCAACACTTTGACAACTGCTCTTGAAAACCAGGAGCCTCCCCAACCATTGGGTGTCACTACACAGACACCTCAGGATCAGACAGGGGAAGCTGAAGCTGTTCAGGATCCCAAAGCGCCAAGCTTTGCCTCTGTTGAGATGTCAAAATAAGTTGACATTGGCTGGATTCTTAAGCCTGAAGTAATCTCTCTTCCCCTTCCCCTTTCCGGGGAACATGAGGAAATATTTGGCCTTCATTTCCCCCAGTAACCACTGGAGAAAGCCCTTTACAAACTTGTATTCTTCCTGTTGCCACATCCCCAATAGTACCTCCATAAGTAGAGGTATGAGACTTTTTTTAGAAGCAGAAACCAAATGTCTAAAGAAAAAAACTTGAGAAAGAGAATTGATTGAAGAATTGGAACAACGAACTTATAGACACATCTGGAGGAAATATCAGATCTATACTGTGGACAGGATCATTTTTCACTCAGAAACACTTTGAGACATTTCTGACAAACAACTGCAAATACCCAGAAGAGAGCTTCCAAGTCTCTGGGTGTGGATTATGTATAGTGTGGCAGCCATGCTTAGGAGGAAAAGATGAAAACAATTAAATATCCACCAAGTATGTGACCTTTTCATAGGATTTCAAATTTCAAGTTGAAAAGGAAAACTTAAAATAACTAAAATCCAAAGGCAATGTTGTATGGGTCCCCCCCCAAAGCCTCTGAGGAGCCCCCCATCTGGCAGGTGATGTGCTTTCAAATTCATTTTTTGTTTTTCCAAATTCAGCTTGTCATATCTGATCTGTAATTGTGCGACGGCCCAGAGTCCTAAGTTCCAGGGCTCTTCTTCCCATCAGCGAGCTGTCCTTTGTAAGCTGTGTTAGTTGAACAGAATAATGATGATGACGAGCCACTGTTTGAAAGTTACTGCTCCTTTACACAGGTGTATCACAGCATAAGACCGAGTAGCATCCTGCCTCTGACAATGCTTGCCTCTTATACACCCATGCCAGGACCCAGCCAGGTAAACACAAACACTGGAATGCTAAAGACTAACAGAGAAATTACAAGACAGTGTGCTTATACATACGCTATATACATATCACATACATGTATACTGCACACAGAGACACTGTCTTGTACTGTTCTCTACTTTTCTCTCCAACTATCTCCCCAACAACATAACCAGACATCAGGTTGGGTATGGAGTAGATGGCATGAGATTTGTTGGTACTGCCCACTGTACTAGCTTGGTGACAAGTGCCTTGTCCTAGTGGCTGGAGATGATAAACAGCAGTGCACACTGACAGTCCAGAGGCATGTATGCCTTATACAGCATCAGGGACAACCATCTGAGTAAACCGATGCCTAGCAGGTTGCCAGGGGGTTCCAAGTAGAAGGAGCCCAGTGTAATTGCCTAAGAGCTCTCTTCAGTTGGAAGCAAAGAAAAACAAAGGTACATGAAGGATCTAGTCACTGGCCTCACAGGGCAGCATACGGATCTTCACCTGATTTAGTACCAGTCCAGAGGCCCTGAACTTTTATTAACCTTGCAGAGCCTGGGCCAGGCTCCCATTTCTTCCTTCTCCTCTCTGCCCCCTCAGCCCAGAAGCTGAAAAACTTGCCTAGTTGTAACATGAGATACAAAAGAAGTCAAAAGTTTCCAAATATTGCAGTTCCCTGTCTGGAGATGACAGAAGCAGCTTTGGCTGTGGTTTAACCAGCAGCTGCCTAATTCAAACACTTACTTACAAACATTCCCTCGCTGCGCGGAGGGGGCGGGGAGGGAGGGCCCACCCCCAGCTCTTCCTTTGGGTAACCTGTAACCAATAGGGCAACATGTTTGATGTACTACTCTCTCTCTGGTTCTCAGTGAGTGGGAAAGCCTTGAGAGCTGGGGCTTCCACTTTTTTATTTGTATCTCCCATGATTAGCACATAACAGAGTGCTCAATAAACGCCTTTTCATTCCATTCTATTTAGTGGGATAAGGCCTCAAGTTAATAGAGAGGATTTGCTTTTCATGAAAGTGTTAGACTTTGAAGTATTTAAAAAAAAATCTAACCCAAACAACTAGATCCAGGCATCACATGGTTTTTCAGACCCTGAAAGCAAACAATGTTGTGGCTATCCAAATCTGACTGCCATTCTTCAAGATCTGCTTCAAATCCCATGCCTACTCCACCTGGCTTCCCTTTTGTCTCCTACCAGGGCACTTTATCCCACAAATCCTTGAAATCAGGCGCTATTTTGTTTGAGACTATCATGGCTTTTGTCACACATGAATCAGAAGACCTAGGTTCAAGTCCATTCACTAATTTGAACAAATAATAATCTCTGTGATCAATCAATCAAGTATTTATTAAATTAAGTGCCTGCTCGATGCCTAGAGTCTGTGTACTAGGTGTTAGGAACATAATATAATGAATGAAGTGGTTCTGATCACCAGAAGCTCATGTCAGGAATACTTCCAGTTAGGTGGGACAGTGGAAAGAGTGCTGGCCTTGGAGTTAGGAAGACCAAGTTCAAATCTGACACTTAATAGCTGGGTAATTCTGGGCACTCGATCTCTGTGCTACAATTTCCTCATGTGCAAAATGGGGATAAAAATAACACCTAGCCTGCAGGATTACTGTGAGGAGCATATAAGATAATACATGTAATGCGCTTGGCAAACCTTAAAGCATCATCTAAATGCTAGCTATCTCAATTGCTGTGAGGACTAGATAAAATAAACTAACCATAAATGCAAGTGGTTATTATTGGTTCTTATAGTCCTATCAGATCTTCATCTCCCTGAGGACAAGGACTCCCACTCCTCTTTCTAGCCTCTGCACCCACAGACCCAGCATGTTAGTGTTCAGTATTTGATGAATGCGAAATGAATACTAGGAGCACAGGACTCAAGTCTGGTATGACTGGAGGACCACGGCTTGAGAGCTGGAAGGCACCGAATTATCCCAACTGTCCCAACATTTTTATTTTATAGCTGAGGAAACTGAAGCCCAAAAGATTAAGGAATTTGCCTAACATCACACAGGGAGTGAGTGGGAGACCTGAGTACTGAACTTTCTTGACTTCCTATCTCAAGCCATTCTCAGTGTATCACACTGTCTCTTCAATGCGTTTGGCTAGAGAAAGGGTTCTGAATCTTTTGTGTGTCCTCTACCCCTTTGGTAATCTGGTGAAATCTATGGACTCTTGGAACCCTTTTAAATATGCAAAATAAAGTACATGAGATTACAAAGGAAACTAATTGCAATGAAATACAAACACAGAAATGTTATTTAAAAACAAACAGATAAACAAAAATAACAAAAAACCTCATACAAGTTCTTGGGCCCCGCTTACAAACTCCAGGGCTAGAAGAACATTTAGCTCCATTACCAAAAGCTGGTCTTCTCTGAGAACATGAAACATCCCTAGCCAACTTTTTGTCTCTGAAACAGGCCTTGATAGCTCCCTCTCAACCCAAAGACAAGTCAGGAACCACTAACCATTCCAGGGAGACAGGAGTAGCTGAAATGTAGGAGGTAATTTTTAAGTATGTGAGAATTACAAAACTGCCAAAATTCTGAGAAGACCACCCTCCACTTTCAAACCTTATGTTTCAAGAAATGAAAACCAGATACTGTCCTGTAATTTTACAAAACTGCCTTAAGGAGATACCCACGTCTTTACAGTTTAAAAAGTATTTTCACATAAATTATCTCATTTGATCATCCTGTGAGTTGGAGAAGGAAAGTATCACCCCCACATTGT